TAAGTTACAGACTCCACAACATTAAAATGAAATAAAGTTTGTCTGTCCGTGCAAAATGATCTTCTGGCTGTGAGCTACTGTCTTCCAAATGCACAGTGTAAATACACAGATTATTTTGATCTGAATGACAGCCATGTGCATCATTGCAGGTGGATGAGATCTACACAGTTCCAGAGGTGGGGACAGTGGTTGGAGGTACTCTATACAGGTCAGTATGTTGAAATTATTGTTTCATTACAGGTTAAGTGGGTTCTTTGTTTTTAACCCAGAAATCCCTCTGACTCGCTATTCTCTCTGGTCTTACAGTGGTATTTGCCGTGAAGGGGATCATCTTGTAGTAGGGCCCACAGACTCGGGTCAGTTCCACCAGTTGACCGTAGGCAGCATCCAAAGGAACCGCTCGGCATGCAGGGTGCTCAGGGCGGGCCAGGCTGCTACACTTGCTCTGGGCAACTTTGACCGCTCATTATTGCGCAAGGTCAGACTCAGAGCTTGTCTAAATTAGTGTTTTATTAGTTAATCACATTAAAAGTATAATATATCTATCTATTGGTTAATGTAAATTGCAGTAAAAGAAACTTGGAATTTGAAATCATTATTTTCATACAAATCTGAACTATGTATGTACACCATCCATATGTTTTCCACTTACAGGGCATGGTGATGGTGAGCCCAGAGATGGATCCTACCATCTGCTGGATGTTTGAGGCTGAGATTGTCCTGCTTTTCCATGCCAAGACCTTCCACAAGGGCTTCCAGGTTACTGTGCACATTGGCAATGTGAGACAAACTGCAACAGTGGAAGCAGTGTATGGCAAGGTTGGTCCATCCGCTGAGCTAAAATGCTCTCATTAACACAGAGAAAGTGAAAAAATGGTGTTTTCAAGGCAGGAGACACACTCATCAATAAATCCATGTTTGTCACAGGCTACGTGGTTTATTAACAGTGTGTAATGGCTGGTGACCAATGGAGTTAAATCCTCAGATGGGTGTTCAGATTTGTCGTGTAGAACATAATCCATTTCTTTCATGGTGAGCACAGTTGCTCCTCTCTTTTACAACAGAAGTACTTCCTTCTGCTAGCTACAAGCAATCTATTGCCAGCTACAAGAGTACTTAAAGATGTGAAAGGCTCTGGGTAGGTGTATCTTGGTTTTCTCACATTATCAGTCTTTCAAACCAGGAATCCAAAAAACTATTCTGTTTAGTGTCTGCTCTGAAATGATACAGCAGTGATTCAAAACAAGAGAAACCAAGAATTTTGATACAATCCAGAATTATAACAAATCCTTTCTGGGATTTTTTTAAGGACTCTATTGGCACTACAGAGCTATTTTATTTGTTTGTTGAGTGTGTGCCCTTTAATCTTAATCTTGGTGTCACTATTCCACTGATTGATTTTAAAATTAAATCTGCAAGTTTAAAAGTGCAATTATATATACACAGAAACACTCATCTTTCATTTAAAAGAACAGCCCACAGGTTAATTTCTAATTTAGTGCCACTAAAGCCTCTGCTGCTGTATTTGGCCCAGATCACCTATCTCATTAATAATCCTGCCTTTGTTTGATTCCTGTTCTCGTGCTACACCACTGTACAACAGGAGGAGCTGAGGACGGGAGAGAAAGCGGTGGTTCTCTTCAAGTTCATCAAGCATCCAGAATATCTGAAGGTGGGAGCAAAGATTCTCTTCAGAGAGGGGGTAACCAAAGGTATCGGGCACGTCACCAAGCTGCTTCCCATCGTCGAGTACCAGCCATCCTAAAGACGAGATGAGGATGAGCCCTAACATTCTTCAGGCAACCACAGAACCAAACACCGTCCCACCTCAAAACAGAGTGCTTTAAAAACCACCTCCTGCTTTCTCCAAAGGCCACGCTGCCAAGTTCCCTTCACAGTAAAAGCCTTTTTGCGCGATTCTGTTGTCTCACCATGTTCCAAAGCTTTGTCACCTTCTTACATTTTGTTCCTTAGAGCCTTTTCAGTACCTGCTGATATTTTCCATCTGCTTTGTATTGTTGAGGCTTAAAAAGTGTTGCTTTTCTTGGTACTGATGAGAAACCTTTCATCCATATCTACAACACAATGACCAAGCATCATCTACCAAAGTTCGCTTTGGAAACTTTGAAAACTGCATTCTGGCCTTTACAAGGAGGTGCTGCTCACACAGTTTACACCTAAATGCACTGTTAATACATACTTCAACAATATGCTCACATGCATATTTGCACTGAGGTATAAACGCCAGCGATGATATACCCGTGCCAGGTAACTGTTTTTATAAACTCAACAGTTGCAGGTATGGAATGATTTCACACCAGTGTAACACAAGGCGCAAGTGTCACCGCCTCACAGCGCAGTGTCTGTGCAAAGTGCCTGACTGACAATTACAAACTTTTATATGCTCTTAAATCATCTCCTTGTCATAGTAACTGCTGTGTGAGCAGGTCAGAAGCTTCATTATCTTGCGTTGAGCTTTGTTGTTTCATCACTTTTATGAAGATAACGGAGAGCATTGTGTGGTATGAAAAGCTAGAACATGGCCCAGTTTGTATGTCAGTCTGCCAGGATAACTCACATTGGCAATCACTTTTTAACTGTCACATTTATCAGTGAGAACTATTTTTTCTTTAATTCACAAGTACTGCCTCACAATAGGGCGGTAAGATGATAATGATCTTGCTGCCTGTCTTTCAAGTGCTTTAGTTACTCAGGTCAGTGTAGATATTGTATTAGACAGCATTCCACTTTCACAGAACGACTCCAGTGGGACGTTGTTGCTAATTTGGGTCGAAAGGAGAACTGATGAAAAACAGATACTCCAGATTCTCCCAAAGCGATGCGTGTGATTACACATTAGTATGTGGAACTGCCTACTGATGCAGCTTTATTTAAGAGCAATTATGTTAAAGGTACTTGATGTACTCTTCACTTAAGTTACTGATGTCACAAACTCGAAGGGGTTTAGCATAGTGCCTAATGGAACTCCTATTCAAGAAGCCTTCCATTACAGCCCATTGTTTTATAACTTAGTAAAAAAAATGAAGTTGGTGCTATTGGAAAACTTTTGATATTTAGAGGAAAAAAATGTAATAAGTGAACGTTAATTACTGCTCTGTTCACGCCTGCTGTTGGCCTCACCATCTGTCTTTCTATTGCATGTTGACGTGACTTATACGCGCATTCAAAGTTTGTATTGTTTTTTTGCACCGACATCATTGATGCACAGTGTGTGTGTGTGTGTGTGTGCAAGCAAAGACAGGTAAGCTAAGAATGCATTTCAACCAAAATATTTTATAGCATTTATAAAGAGTTCAGGTGTTAAAATTTGTTTTACCGCATCTCGGAAGATTTTTATAGATTTGTAGTAGTTCTGGATTTTACAATTCATTCAAAGATTTTTCAGTCTTCTTCTTAACACCAGCTTATTTTCACTCTTTTGAAATCCTTTGAAGTCAGTTTTCCTTTTAATTCAACGTGTATTTTGATCATTTTCTGGGTGAAATGCAATATTTATGTACAGATCCAATTCGTGTATTATGATGTACATGAATAAAAGTTTTATTGTCACTTTAGCAGCTGTTTAACAGTGTTTTTTCAAAGTAAAATGTGACATTGCAGTGTTTTAAACGATATATCCTATGTGAATAGATCATGACTTCCTTCACAATAGTTTTTTTTCCCCTGGTTTGGCTCCTCCTATCCTGCTCTCCAGCTGATGCAAGAAAGTGCAAGCATAATTTAGCCATTCAGGTCTGTCAATTGCTCTACAGGACAATAAGTTCACCACTGCAGAAAACATGAAGAGGATGACTCATCTATTTATGCTGCAATTGCACTCTTTGGAGTGGCAATCATGTCAAAGGTTGAACAAGCCATTGGGTTGTCTGTAATTTATGCCATTAAAGCTGCAACAGGAAAAAAAAAATTCTAATACAATAATACAAAAACTGTAATTTGGCAACTGACAGGCCCTCTGACGTTATACGTCAGCTCCCTACCTGGACAACCACAGACACTCAGAACCATGAACTACCACACACTTAGTGTATTTATGTTTTTACTTCTTTTTTTTTATAACACTTTATATTACTCACCTGATTTGGGTTGATTAGATTTAACGAGTGGAAATGGCCTCCATTGTGAGCCAAAGCCTTAAACATTGCTTGAATTATAATATCATTAAAAGTTATTATGGAAATATTTGTTTATTGGGGGTTTTTTGTTTTGTTTTTTACAGTGACACCAAAATCACACACACCCTTTGCTTTAATTCAATTAATCCAGCTGATACTTATTAGCTCATCCAGCTGAAGGGCCAATGAGCTTATGTCACAGTCAGGCATCTGTCCATACTGAACAATAATCCTTCCTCTGAGGCTATTGTTCAGATTTTACAATAACTCAGACACAATAATCATCTAATAGATCTTCAACCAAATTCTGCTCCGGGTCAGGGTCAGATGTGTCATTTCACAGGCAATAACCTGTGAATTGTAATGGATTTTGAGCCAGAGGAGCTGCTACATTATTGACCTGATTGATCTTTTATAACATTTCAATCTGCCCTCCGCTACATTATTTTATGAGTTATCAGCTCATCTTGTACCAGTCCATGATGTAGGCTGTGAGCTCGGCTATGGCAATATAAATTTACATTTGTGAAGTTAGCAATATCCTTGTGATAAAGGATGACAAGTTCAGGGCTACTTTTGTCACATTTGTTCTTATAGAAACCTAAAAGGCTTGCTCACAAGGGTGTGTGGTTTCCTATGTGAATCTGAGTCTTCTATGTAAATGTACTTAGTTGTGTTTGGAAAACTCATTGACACCAAGAGTATTTCAAATACTACCTTCTTGTCTTACAAATCACAATCATGTGCCCCTCTCTCTTTCTTACTAGAACACTTCATACTGTTGATCGAGTGAGGATTTCTGCTCTACATTCAACTAACTAGTGTCATCTGCTGGTAAGTCAAAGTACTACAGCATACTGCATGTTACTAGGATGAGTAAAACGAATCTTTAATACACTCTGCTTTAAAAAAAATGTCTCTTAATAATATTGTCTTTTTATTTATCATTAAAAAGTAAATTAAATAAATCAAATAAATAAGATTTTTTGATTTTTTTTTATACACATTGTTATCATCACCCAACTTCAACATTGAAAGCAGAAAAGTCTTAATGTACTGTTTAGGATATGGCTTTGTAAACAAACATTTTTTAAAACGTACATAATCAGAAATACGTTTGAGTTTAATTTAAAACTGCGGTTCTGCATTAGATCTTCAGTTTTTCTTGAAGAATGAATCCAGAGTGCCCGTGCTTGCACTTTGGGAGCGGGGTCTTTTTGGTGCTGGTCCCGACTGGCCTCTTGTTTTAGTCTTGCCCCGAGAGGAGTGGGCTGTGTCTGCTGCTGCTCTGAGAGGATTCATAGCGGTACCGGAAGAAGAAGAGGAAGTGATGGTTGATGTGCCTGAAGAGAAGGACTGCTGGAGGTCCAGAGCAAAATGATAGTCATTGTGTTCTGGCATTTCCCACGCTAACACCTCCTGACCACAGCGTTCACAGCTCATCAGATCTTCACTGGCCACAGTGTGAGGAGGGTGATTTGACTCCACATTAATGTCCAGTTCATTCCTTAACTCCTCACTTGCCGACTCATGAGATGCATTCTCTGAGCTAAGTTTTGACTCCAAGCCTGATGCCACAACAACAATGTCTTTGGTGTCTTCCTCATCAACGGGACCTGGCATTTGTCCGTTTTCAGGCTTGTTCAGTGCTGACCCTGAAACCTGGAGGCTTTTTTCAATGGTCTTCTTGTGAAAGAAAGAGGAAATGCCTGGGTGGGGGCTGGATGAACCAATTTTGGACTGAGAAACAGGTGTAAAAGAGGAAGCAGGACAGACAGCGTCTGACTTCAACTGACTAACAGAAACAGAAGTATTGTGAAGCGAGGAAGCTGGGAGACCTTCATTGCTGTGTGTACCAGAATCCTCTTCATCATCATCATCATCATCCTCCTTTCTAACCTTCTGTTTTTGTTTCTCAACTGCCTTTTGAAAAAAGGACTGGATGGAGCCGGTTTGTTTACACGGGGAGACATTTTTTGGTTCACGGGGTGGCTGCGTTGAAGTGCTATCACTGGAAAGAAAGCCAGCGATCCCCCCCGCTGATGAAACATCGCTGAATTTACTAGCTGAGAGGTATAACATGCTGAGGGGTGGAGTCCTGGGGACATGATGGAAGACAGTTTAAATTAAAAAATTTAAATAAATAAATAAATAAAAATCACAGAACATCCCTTTGGCAAATTACTTTAAACCCTCTGCAGTATCCTGTTCTAATTACCATGCAGCCTGATGGTTTCCTGCTGTGTTCAGACTCTTGATAATGGCAAAGGTGTCGCTGGATATTTTGGTCGCCTCGTAGCGCACTAAAGCACAACATCTAGAGAAGCTGCTCATCCTCTTGTCGCCAAGCTGACGTACACCAACTGTCAGCATTTTAGCCACACGACCGTTCTATAAGAAATTAAAGGAACTGAGCTGAAAATAGTTGCATTTACGGGATTTGGCACTAATGTGAAACCCAACTGAAGAAAATATGGGTTAATGAGGGAAAAGAACTAAATTACACAACCAAGTATTGTGTCTTACCACTTCTCTGTCCTTGGTCAGCCTCTCCTCTAACTCAAGAGCCAGTTGATGAAGCCAGTACTGTACCTGCACAAATACAAATACTTTAAAAATGCTTGTGGAACACACTGAAAGAGCACAGAAACATTGACTCTACCTGCTCTTTAGTAGCCAGCGATGTCTTCCCAGGAAAGTTTTTACTGCAGCCAATGGACTTTGGAAGCTGTCTTGGTTTCACAGCTTCAAAATCAATCCCCCGGCACAAGTCGTACAGCCACTGACTACATTAAACAAGGAAGCAGGATAAAGTTTAACGTCCCTGTAGTGCAGAAGGGTTTCCAAAATTACAAAGTTTCTTTTCTGAAGCAGAAGTTCAAGTACAGAAGTTCAGAAATGTTTAAGGAAGTTTAAAAGTGCAAAACTACTTGTTATTATTTTAATAACACCATGTGATTACTTTCTTAAGCAAGTTATGTCACCATTATCAAAATGATAGTGTTTGAAGGCATTTCTGGCTCTCTCACCCTGTTTTTTCTCCAAAGTGCTGCTCCAACTGAGCCTTAGAGAAGCGAGTGAGATCGCCCATGTTCTCTATTCCCAGAGTTTCTGTGATTGAAGTTCCCAGCTTACCCCCCAGGTTACGGCTGCAGGAAAATAAATAATACAAGAGGACAGGGTTTAATTTTAAGTTTTTGCTGCCACTCTGTCAATGTAAGCGATGACATAACTAAACTTACATCTTGCCAATGGGGAGACTGCTGAAAAGTTCTGTCACAGAGTCCAGAGGAAGAACAGTTTGTCTGTTGGGCTTGTTCAGACCACAGGCTAGTTTAGCCAATACCTTGGAAAGGTGAGCGGTAAATGATTATCTCTGCAAACACAGTTACCAGTCTGAGACTATTAAATAGGAGTTTATCCTACCTTATTGTGTGATATTCCTGCAGAACAACTGAAACCTGTGTGTTTCTCCACAGCTGCTCTCATTTCCTCAACAATCAGTGCTCCAACAGTTAGCTGCAGTTCTGCAGAGTTCTGCTCACCCACTGACGGGAACGTTAAAGATTCCAGCCACTGCTGGAGACCTCTGGATCGCTGTTCCTCTGAGCACAAACATGATGTTGTTAGGAGGATAAAGCCTGCCAGAGTTTTTTAGCTGTTATTCTTCGACAGCTTTCTGTGTCAACTGCAGAAACAACTCATTGGGTAACTGAAGTTAGCTTACAGCCTACCTTTATCCAACACAGTGTCCTCTGCAGAGTCTTCAGCTGCAGGTGAACTTTGTGGGTACCCCTGGATGTAGGTAGTTCTCAAGAGTGAAGTTTCGATTTGTTTGTCAGTCATATTTTTCAGTCGCTGCTGGACAGCAGCAGTCAAATCCATGTAGGCCTCATCAATGCTAGCTCTCTCAATCACAGCAAAGCGAGACATGACCTCAATCACCTCCACACTCGCCTCTCTGTAACTACAAAGGGGACAGAAAGAAGATATTTGCAGTACAGCTTTGGCCATAAGGATTTAAGACAATTCAAAAAATAATCGTAAATTTAATTAAAGACAATGTTGATCGAGTGTTGATCCAAAGATTTAATGTTGATCCAATTAAAAAGAGGAAGTCTCTGGGGATGTACATCAGCAGCAGCACTTACTTTGTCAAGTCAGCCTTGCCATGAGACTCACGCACTCGTGCCACCTGGAGGTCTGGGCACAGTTTTTTTGCATCATCCACCCACATGTTCCTGGTGACACCATGAGCCCTGGCCTCGTAGCTCACAGCTATAATACTAAGAAACAATAACATTTAGTCAAAGATCACAAAAAAAAAAATCATAAAGTGTGAAAACATTTTAGAAGGATGTCTAAGCGGTTATTTGTGGGACATGAGGGCGGGTGAGTTGCCAACACAGAGACATCAATTCAAATGGTCAATGCAACTGAACACACGCAGTCGTGGGAACGAATTCACCAGTGGGTTACAAAGAGAGAGGGGAATGTTTAAATTCTCTGTAATCTAGTCAACATTCTGTTTTACAGAGTATTTCATTATTTCAAAATCTGCTGCTCTACTGGCATTTTCTCCCCTAACACCAACTATATGGTTTACAGAGAATGGTCTGAAAAAAGAGAAAATAAAGCTGCAGTTTTCTGGGTGAAAGTGCCTTGTGCAACTAAGAGGTCAAAGAAAATGGCTTCACGCTGATAGGAAGGCAACAGGAACTCAAATTCAAATAACCACTCAACTAAGTTATGCAAAAAAAAAAACATTTTTAAACACAAAAAACGATGAACCTTGAAGCAGATGGGCTACAGCCACGTAAGACCACAGCAGGTGCCACTTCTGTCAGCTAAAAAAACAGGAAACTAAAGCTACAGTTCACATGGGCTCACCAAAATTAGACAAGAAATGACCAATAGGACAGTGTTGCCTGGTCTGATGTGATTCAGGTTGGTGGTGGTGGTGTAATGTTGTGGTTTTTTTAGCAGAGTTTGTGCCCCTTAGTACAAACTGAGCATCGTTTAAACAGCACGGCCTACCATGTCCATCCCTTTATGACTACAGTATAACCATGTTCTGATGGGTGCTTCCAGCGGGATAACACACCACGTCACAAACCTCAAATCATCTCAAACTGGTTCCTTGAACATGCCAGTGAGTTCACTGCACTCGAATGACTTCCACAGTCACCAGATATCAGTCCACTAGAGCAACCTTTGGCTTTTTCATCAACCTTTTAACTCGATTTACACGAGTACGAACAGGATGTACGTAAGGCACACCAGAAAAAGAAAACTTTCGTAACTTTAGCTTTAGGAACCTAAGTAACCCACAGACCCAGGTTTTGTGTCACGGCTAGGTGTTTCAATTGCGTCGATCACAAAAACGGTATCTCTGTGTCAGAAACTCACCTGCCTCCTTTCCACGTCTTGTACTGGGCCACCACACAGGGAGTATTCCTCAGAGCTGGATTCAGCCTCTGCTCCACCTGCACGTAAAAGCAGTCCATGTCTACCAACGCCACCACCCTCTCCTTCCCGTACTCCATTATTAACGATGAAAATCTGTCGGTGGTGCTAAGATATGTGTCCGCTTCTTGGCGGGGCTGTTAATTCACAGCTGTCATCAGAACTGAAAGTTCGGTGGACTTGAACGGACCGCCAAAATACACATCGATCGCTTTGCATTTCGAGGGTTACATAAATACGTCATCAACAGTCGACGAAGAAGTCCCTTGGTAATATCGTCATCACTGAAGAAAACCAGAACTTATGTCATTCTACAGTTGCCTGCGCATCGAAATTAGCTACCAAGACCACAAAGGTGCAAGAAAGTGACCAGATTCAAAACAACAATATAAAAACACTATATACACAATGTATAAGTTACAAGAAACACTGTGGGGCTGTATACAAGGGCATCCATAATATATTAAGGGCGGAAGGGCATTTGGTGATAGTTAGTGACACTTGCAAAATATGGAAAATGCAATATATTAATAGTGTCATTCTGAAATATTTTAAAAGCTGAAGTCTTCCTTTTTCGCCTTCTCCCTTTAGTGACCATCACATCGGATCATCTGCCTTCATTTCCTGATTACTCCAAATGAAAATCCCAAAAAGTAAATTGTGTTCTGTGGGAGAAACGTTTTCGTCACTCATCCGAATTACTACTTCAGTTTCAGCTGAAGTAGCATATTAAAAACAGCATGAAACTGACCTCACATCGTTTCGTCAGTCATTATGCAAATCTACTGTTTATAAGGTTGGGGAAACTAGCAGTCACCTGAGACTGAAAATGTCAATTGGATAAGTAAAAAAACGTTTCTCCCACTTGAAATGCTACTTCCCACAACTTAGACATTCACATTACTCACACTCTCATTACACATACATATAGGATCTTGGGGGTGGGCACGATATACGGAGTCCAAATTACCATCAGGGTGTACACCTCACCCCTGGCGTCGTTGCCCACCTCTCAATTTTGAATACACGTAGACATTGAGGGCTAGCAGGAGGGACTATGCGCTTACCTGCTGCTCTCTGGCAGGTAGCTCCATGGCCTCCTGGGTTTTAAATGCACCTTAGAACACACATGCATCAACACTACAATGAGTGGGTGGAGGGAGGTTTGGAGTCTTCTCCCACCCCCGTTCTCTGCGGCCTGCTGGAGCGGGGGGGCTAGGAGGAGAAGTTGGCCGTCCGACTGCGGTCTGGAGTGTGGGGCCTCCCTGCTGCTGCGGAGTCGGGGCGGTCTGCCTCTCCCCACCGCAGGGAAAAGGGAAACACCACCTGGGTCTGGGTGCAGTTCCCCCCTCCAGGGGCAAGGGTACCTAGACCCAGTTCGTAGAGTACGCTTGGGGAGTGTGATCATGTGTACAGCGTCTCTTTATGTCTGTCTCCACGTTGGTTGAGTGTGGAGTAAGTGCATATGAGAGCATGAGGGTGGGAATGGATGTTTGTGTCTGTGTGTGCCTGTATGTCTGTGTCTATATGTCAGGTTGGGTATCAGACGCCACCTCTCCGGGGACATCTCAGGCCCTCCAAGGTTTGGAGGCCTATCTCCACCCACCACCACTTCCCCTGCCAGTGGCGGACTCCCTCAGGTGTCGGTGCGTTGGTGGTTCTTTGTGTCTGGGGGTGGGCGTCCGGGTACACACCGGCTCACTCCTTGGCGGCCGCTTATCGGGGCCTGGAGCCTGGGGCTCGCTCGGGCCACTTCGGAGGTGGGGTGTCCCCGGCCTCTCGGCCTGGGGCTCGGTCACTCAGGCGCAGCTGGCTGCCGGCGGAGCTCACGGGCGCGTCACTGCAACTCCCCCTGGCTTCTGCTCCGCGGCTGCTGAGTGAGCCCTCATCTGGGACTCTCCTCAGCTCTTACTGGGACAGTGGCGCGGCTGCCCCTCTGTTGGTCTTCCTTGGTCTCTTGTGTTCTGGGGCCTCTGGATGTCTGGAGTTTTGATCTCCTCCATACCTGCTTCATACCCTGGAGGACGGGGCTGTGCACACTCCCTAGCAGATCGTTACATGGAGAAACCTTTGGAATGCAAGCATGCTGATCCACACAGGTATGCACACAGGTGTACACACGGGTATTCACAGACGCGGACTACAGCTTTCTTGGCTGCTGCCTCAAAGCACATTGTGCGCTGTCTATCTTGCGTGCTGCACAATATCGTTTATTATTTAGTATCTACTGATATCTACTGCTAGCTAGTTTATTGTGATGGTGCCGTTTTTTTTATTACGTTGCTCTTTGTTGTTTGCTTTCTCTTCTGTTTTTTTTCTCCATACAGGTGACCCAGGTGTTTTGTTTCTTTTTGTTTGTTTGTTTGTTTTTTCTTTCTTCCCCCCCTTCTCACCGTCTTTTCTCCCCTTTGGTTTTCTTTCTCTCCCTCTCTTTCTTTCATTCTTTCTCCCTGTCCTATCCCCCAGTCATGTCTGTCCCGTTTGTAGCAACTGAAAATAAAATAAATTCATAATTATAATAAAGGTCAATCAAATGGACCAATATGGCAAGGCCATGATGATCCACTTGGTAAAATAAATCCGCTTGGCTTCTTTGTTGGCCTTAAGACAACAATTCTTATGGCTAAAGATCCAAACGGGACACACACAAAAAAAAAAGCAAGGTTTCATCTCCATGCTAAGTTGTAAAGAAGCATGACTGTATTTGTAACAGTACGAGCAGCCCCGCGTGGACCTCCGTCAGTCTGAGACAGCGGGGTCAGGCTGCGCAGGCCGCTACCAGAAACGTCACGGTAATGTTTTGGTATTGTGGGTCGTTTACGCCCAGAGCATTGTCTTGCAGGAAGGTCATGCGTATAGATTTGTTTTCTTTTCATTATGAAGGTTGGCACTCCCGCACACTATTTTATATAAAGTTTTTGATACAAACATGTTTTATTGCTTAAGTATAATTGAGGTTTTTGCAAAAGTATGAAGCTGTTTAATATGTGACTCTTAATGAGTTGTGAAATAGATGGAAGTTGCACACGGTATAGAGAAGTAAGTTTCATGTTCAGTGTGCTGTAAAAGATGTGTGTTTATTTTTGATCAATTTCAGTATTCAGAACAGGTACAGTTATCCACTTTAATTTCAACCAGATAAGAGTGTGGTTTGCCTTAAATACAGTTGAATATTGCTGTAAATTCACTGTAAACTTACAGTGGCATTTAATCGCTTAAGCAAGCAGGGATTTCATCTTTGTTATTGTGGCACCATTCCTGGGGCCCGTAACATTATAGTTTAGTATTTTATGGCTTTGGCATATATGGCTGCTACAGGTATTAACTAACTTATCTTCATTGATGATGTAACTGCTGATGGCTGATGGAAGTTGCAGAATGAATTCTGAGGAAGATGGAAACATCTGCTCATGTTCCAGTAAATGCCTGCAAACTCATTGAATAACTCTTCATCCTGCAACAAGATAACTTACTGCTAAGGCAACACAAAACTTTCTCAAGCCCCAAAAGGTTAGTCACCTGATAGATAAACATCAAAAAGGTGGTGAGCATCTATGACAGCTGGCACTGCATGCAAGGGATATGCAACAAAGTATTAAACATGACTGCATTCATGTACCTACCATTACTTTGTCCCAAGCACTGTTGTGCCCTAAAATGAGGTGGCAAGTGTTGTAATTGATATATGGTGGAACTAAAATGTATGTTAATGATTATGAATTAAAGTTCAGAATGTGCACTTTAATCACATCTGCACTGTTTGGTTTAAATTTTGACACTGAGAAGCACATTGTGGCTTTAGCAGACACTGAGTCAGAGTAACAGGAAAAGTTGTCAGAAACCACAGAAATGTCACTCACGTTACCAAAGAACTGACACCCGCTCAGAGAAGATGACCTTGCACAATGTAGAACAGTATTTAATTTGCACAATGAAACCCTTTCACTTTCCTGTTTTGACTACATTTTTATATTTTAGTTTTCTCTGTTCTATTTTCTTTTTCAATTTTCTATATGTTGCTAAGAATGATGGGTTTTGAAAAGCCACCAGCTTGACAGATGTTGGATGTATTACTGTTTACTACATACACTCTTTATTTTGTGAGCCAACTTATGTAAAATTACTGATTTACATATGAAGAAGAATAACAGAAACGGCAGTGACAGATGCATATAAGGATGAAAAAAAGGAAGTGGCACTCACACTGTTTTTTCTGTTCATTTATCGATATGGCTGTCTATGCCAGGATTATTTATATGTTGACTGGACTAACAGGTATGAGGGGGAGGCTTTTAAAGTCCTTTAGCTTGTTTATTAATTTTTATGCTGATTATAAAAGTTCCAATAACAAAAATATATTTGTAATAGCCTTGTAATTGTTTTTATTTTATTGAGTTTTTTGAAGACATTATCTAATAAGGAAAAATGAAGATTTTTAAAAGCGTCTAGCCGATCAATGGAATTATTCCACTAAAGTGCTTTATTTGTTCTGTTCATGTACAAAATATAAGCCAAAAAGAAAAAACCTTTTAAGCAAACGAAATAATATAATACTTTATTTGTTCTCTGCAGGAGTTCACAGCATAACTACAGTCAGTAAAGTCTCAGTGAAAACTGGGAAATCTATCTCCATCCCATGTCTCTATGAGTCCCAATACAAATACCATGTGAAGTACTTGTGTGAAGGATATTATTGGAACTCCTGCCGCTATGCAGTAAAAACAAACACAGCACACCCTTCAGGAAAATATTCAATCTCTGATGACAAAAAACAGCAAATTTTCACTGTGACTATAAACCAGCTGGCCTATGAAAACACTGACTACTGGTGTGTGGTGGAGATTAATAATGGAGCAGATTATCGAAAATATTTTAAACTGTCAGTTACCAGTGGTAAGTGCACATCGTTGTACATATTTTACATTGTTTCCAGGATTTCTTGTCACAATTTCTAACAAAAAAAACAACAAATATGTTTTTATTTTTACTAAAAGAGACTGAATGTGCTCTCATTTGTTGTTAAACGTCAATAAGAAAATATGTCTTAAGTCTGAATTTCAATGAATTTTGAAGGGTTTTTGTATTGATTGTATTTTTTGTGAACTTTAAGGGAACCCCAGTCTCCATGTGAATCATCAGAGGATTACAGGATATATTGGAGAAAGCACAACTATCAGATGTCACCACAGTTACTCTGGAGAAATGAAGTGGTGCAGGCTGGGCAGGAACTGTGTGACAGGATCATCTGGATCCATAGATGGAACAACAGTGACCACTTATATGAGCGAACCAAATGTTTTCACAGTGACAATGAGTGGACTACAGTCAGAGGACAGTGGCTGGTATTGGTGTGCAAAAGAGGACATTCAGATACCAGTATATTTAAATGTTACTGAGAAACCAATCACCAGTGAGTACAGCAAGCTATCATAAACTCCACATATATATCAATTCTATCCATTTTTAAATGTTAGTACTCTAAGAGATATTAGGATAATGATTGTCATAGTGCTCTAGTAATTATTTATGTATATTTAATTATAGCCACTGCCTCTACTGTTGCTCACGTTACTGGAAATGGAACAATTCACACATTTGAAGACAAACAAGAAAGGTTTGTTTTTCAGTTTTATGTGCAGTATTTAATGAACTGTTCTTGTAAGGGAAACTGTCAAAAATTCCTTTATGCATGTCATTGATCCTTGTTAAGATAAACTAAATTATACATTTTGCAGAGTTCCATTTGACCTAAAGATCCTCATCATTCCTCTGAGCCTGCTGGTCGTGGTTGTAATTGTAGCTTTTCTTATCTGGTTTATAATGAGACAAAGTAAGTGTTATTGAAATCATTGAAACATTTAAAATGCAATTAAAGTTTTGAATATTGTGCATTGTTACACGGTCAGTAACAGCAGTTATCTTTTACTAGAGCTGAGAAAAGCAGAATCAACTCCCACAGCAAAGGTAAGAGATCCTGTGTGACAGGTCTATATGCAAAGAGTTCTGTGTGACACCAGTCTGACAGCGTTAAGTCTTTCTGTAAATTACATTTTGCTCATTCTACACAGATTGATGAGGAAGTGACATACGCCAGTGTAAGAAATGTGGGAAGAAAAACAGCTGAGGTAGCCCTAACATACCACAGCTAAACATTTATATTTAAGAATATAAGTAGACTTTCTTTTTTAAAGCATGTTGGAACTGTAAAGTGTTGGCTTTCTATTTTTGTTCATTCCCAGGGGTCATTTACAGAAGGTGATGGGGAAATCACATACAGTTCGGTTGTGACCATAAAGAATCAAAGTATCAAAATGGTAAATATTAAACATGATAGCAACCGCATCCTGTTTCCCACTTCCTGTGTTTCCTTCATTTAAAATGTTGGTGTCCTGGTATTTTGTGTGTCACTTGGAATTTGGTCACATTCTGCTTCCCCCCCCCCAACTGTCATTTTTGTTTCTGTTCTCCAACAGGGTGAAGAAAAAGGCACAGAAGTTACATACAGCACATTAGCTACTCTCCACTGAAATATTTAAATATTATAACTTGGCAACTTTTTTGTCACGTTTAACTGTTGTTTAACAAAACAGGTATTCGACAGAACATCACTTCATATTCTCTACTGTTCACTGGTTTCACCATACTTAAGCTATTGTGCAGAGGTCTGGGGCATTAACTATAAAACCACATTACATTCACTTTTTACTCTTCAAAAGAAAGCAATTCGAATCATCCACAATGCAGGTTATAGGGAACATACAAACTCACTATTTTGCAGTCTGAAATATTGAAAATGACGATATAGTGAAATTCCAAACAGCACAAATTCTATTCAAAGCAAAAAATAAAGAACTGCCAGGTAATATTCAGAGTATGTTTTTTTTGAAAGAAGGAAGTTATAATTTATGGGGTTTTTGTAACTTCAAAACAATGAAGATACGTACTACAAGAAAAGGCTTTTGTGTTTCTGTTCAAGGAGTGAAACTATGGAACAAACTGAATATGGAATTAAAGCATATGTCCATGTCCAAACATAAAACTGTTCAAAAAAAGTTATAAAAATATGATCTTCTCGATCTATAAAGAAAGGAAATATTTAATTAAGTGAATGTCTCTATTTAAAAACAAACAAACAAAAAATTCATGATGTGATATTATAGTATATAGTATATCAGAAATCTGTTCACTATTTTTATTACAAATTATATCAGTAAGGAAGCTGACTAAATATTCACTGATAATTTATGGGACAGGGGTGGGATTAAATAAGTGTATACTTCTTCCCACTCCCTTTCAACATGTAAATTAATCAGAATGTTTTTTTGTATGTAATTTGTATAGTATTTTTTTTCTCTCTTATTTCTTTTCTAAATGTACTTGTATATTGTTCACATGTTGAAATAAATTACCAATCAATCAATCAATCAGTCAATCAACTATATTCCTAAAGTATATTCCTGCATATTTGCAAAGGGAGTCAAAGAAGCGTTGATCTGTTTGCTCTTTTATAGAGATCAGTGACATTATTCTTGTTTTTTATTGTAATAAAGAAGCATTGCAAGCATCAACAATAATGGCTAATCCTGACTTCTATCATCTTTGTTGAATGAGAGTGGAATGATATACTATTTGGAACGATTAAGCATGCAGTCTGCCTTTACGTACATTTTTTAAACATAAATATGTGTGTAATGAGTCATTCTAAAGAGCTCACTAAATCGGTACTGCAGTGGTATTGTAATAGGACGCCACCACTGCAACAAGTCACTTTGTTAAATTTCCTAGACATTTCAGAATCAGCTGTAAGTTAGAACAGTTGTGGCCATCTTCCTGATGCAATCATGGATATTTGTTGTTTCATCCTGGACACGGTTCTGACACACACATCCTCAGCCTCTTTCCTTCCACTTAGCCTACAGTCTCAGGGTGCTATATTTGGGACTAAAACCCTCCATGCATAGGACAGAGTTAGTGGCATCTAACTTCTCCTTTGCCCAGCTTATTAACCCAGCAGGGTATTTGATGACTAGCATGGTGTAGGTATTAATAACCCAGGATTTGTTCTTTCCATTCAGCTGAGTCCTCAGGACTTGACTTACACTCTGGAGGTATTTGGTGGTTGCGGCCTTCTTAGTAACATCTTCATGGTTCCCATTTGCCTGTGAGATTCCACCGTACTCAGGCTACGTTCACACTGCAGGCCTTAATGCTCAAATTCAATTTTTTGTCTGCTTGTTCACACTACAAATAAAATTTGACAGCAAACACGCTCTAGTGTGAACCCTCGAAGCGGCCCGCATGCGCAAAAGAAGACGTCACACACAACGCGCTCTGTTTAGACCCAGACCAAACAGTATTGTTTGACTGATGGCCCTTAATATAAAGACTTTTTTCAGACTTTACATTTTCCAATTTTGCTTTAAGTTATAAAATTATTTTGTTATTTACATATGGCCTAATAATTATCCTTATTGCTGTTTTAGAGAGGAGCGGTGCTTCAAAGGCTAGTTGCAGATTTCTGTCAGAATCAGCAGATTATACAGTACAAATAAAATCTTCACGTTTCTCCAGCGTCTTCCCAACAGTTTCACTAACATCTACACGGGATGGCTAGGAAGCGTTCACGATGTCTTCTCGGACGCTTCTCCAGCGCTTCTTCGGTGCTGATAATTGGCGTCTGTCTTGTGTCAGTGACGTAAAAGACGGATTTAATCCGACTTGACCATTCAAACAGCAGTCGTTGTCTAAAACATCAGATATGTATCGGATTCAGTACCACATACGAAAGTGGCCCAGGTCGGATTTGAAAATATTGGATTTGTACTGTTCACACTGTCATACCATGATCGGATATGTGTCACAAAGGGTCAAAAAAGTCAGATATGATGCACTTTCATCTGCAGTGTGAACGTAGCCTTAGTTATTCTCAAGGTCTGCAGTGTTGCCTTCTGATAGTGCAGTCCCCTCAGGGCTGGACGGGGACAAAAAGTCAATATGGCCGGTGTGCCATATATCTATATATTATACATATATCTATGCATTTCATTTTGTTTGACAGTTTTTAATCAGTTTGGTACAGTTGCTGTTATTTATTTCTTTGTTGCATTGCAGAACGTCAAAATTTAAAGCTACACTTTAGCTGTTAGCAGTGGCTCATGGTTAAAGTAGCCAATTATTTAACCCAAATCCTTGAATCTCTCATATCCTATTTATGTTCCTCCATCTATACTCTATAATTTTACTTTGTCTCTTCCTCACTTATCTACAGCTGGTGCTCCACCAGTAGCCTCCTGAGACTGTGAGGCCTGGTTACGAGTTGTTACTGGTACTAAAGCCCCACAGCTAACAAGTCGGTAAATTTGACACACTATTACTAGCTTGCTTTTTGTTGTTTTCTCTCAGTTTTCAAGCTCCACCTTTTCGCCACTTCTTCCAAACTAAAGTTTTCCTACAACGTGCATAAGCACACAGTGAAGATAGGGGAGGGGCTGGTCCTTTGTCAGCTCACTTTCGTGTGTTTTACATAGGAGGAAGAGTGATTGCAACTGCAGTGGCAGTGGCATACTTAGAGTTGAAAAATAGGAAGTGTTGCACTTGGAGTTTTCAAGTGCAACAGTTCATACGATTTTGTCTGCTCACTTATCAATATGGCTCTCTGTCTCAGGATTATTTATATCATCACTGGACTAACAGGTATGTGCCAGGGGCTTTTAAAAATTGCTTAGCATCTCTGTTGATTTTCAATTTCCAATAGTATTAATTTGTAATTTGTAATAACTTACCAAAAGAGATTTTATTTTATTAGCAAAACATTTAATTCTGAAAACATGTAGATAATCAACAGAACTATTCTATTAAAATGTGCATTTGTTTCTTTGCAGGAGTTCACAGCATAACTACAGTCAGTAAAGTATCAGTGAAAACTGGGAAATCTATCTCCATCCCATGTCTCTATGAGTCCAAATACAGAAACCATGTGAAGTACTTTTGTGAAGGAGCTAAATGGAGATCCTGCAACGATGTAGTAAAAACAAACACAGCAGACCCTTCAGGAAAATATTCAATCTCTGATGATAAAAACCAATTTTTTTTTACTGTAACTATAAACAATCTGACAAATGAAAACACTGATTACTGGTGTGTGGTGGAGATTAATAATGGACCGGATTATGGAGAGCATTTTCAACTGTCAGTTACCAGTGGTGAGGTTCCATCTTTGTTAACATTTTAAAGTTGTTGTTATTAAAAGTTAATAGAAATAGACGTGAAATCTAAATTGCCAATGGTTTTTCAAATCTGTATTTTTGTCCTTCTATCCACTCATTACTTTATTTATTTTAATGTTTGTCCTTGAAGGGACCCCCAGTCTCTATGTGGATCATCAGATGATTACAGGATACATTGGAGAAAGCACAACTATTAGATGTCACCACAGTAACTCTGGAGAAATGAAGTGGTGCAGGCTGGGCAGGAACTGTGTGACAGGATCATCTGGATCCATAGATGGAACAACAGTGACCACTTATATGAGCGAACCAAATGTTTTCACAGTGACAATGAGTGGACTACAGTCAGAGGACAGTGGCTGGTATTGGTGTGCTAAAGAGGACATTCAGATACCAGTATATTTAACTGTTACTGAGAAACCAATCACCAGTGAGTACTGCAAGTAATTATGAACTTGGCACATGTATCAATTCCAGCCATTTATAAATTTTAGTACTCTCAGAGATATTAGGACAATCATTGTTACAGTACTCTAGTACTGACTGTTGTTTTGTTGAATTATAGCTACTGCCCATACTTTTACTGGAGATAGAACAATTACCACATTTAAAAATGGACAACAAAGGTCAGATATCTTTTGTATTTGCAGTAGATTTAGCGACAAAACTGTTATTTTGACTAAAAACCTTTTATGCTAAACTTAATTATGTGTTCTCAAACTGCATGTTGCAGAGCTTCATTTGACCTCAAGATCCTCATCATCCCTCTGAGTGTGTTGATCTTTATTGTAATTGTGGTGTTGTTCATCTGGTTGATACTGAGAAACAGTAAGTCTTGTTAAACTTTGATTTAAATCCAAACAGTATTTACTTGAATTTATGCATTATTGTTGGCTATTTTGCATTGTTAACACAGAGTCTGTAACAGGTGCTTTGTTTTTTCTCTAGAGCAGAGAAAAGCAGACTCATCAGCCACAGCAATGGTGAGTTATATTGATTTATTTCTCTGTGAGCTTGGTACATGATTCTACAAGAATAGCTAAATTAATTGATAGGGAAAACTTTTATAAGTACAGTTTTGCAGATGTTCTAATTATTTTCTGTTTTCCAATGCAGGCCGGAGTGGAGGTAGCATACGCTGAAGTTAGACCCAAGAAAAAACACTTAGGCAAGGTAAACAACAGCTGTCCTATCAAGAAATCAAGTCTAGGATTTTCAGTGAATATACTGACATTGGAAAGTAAAATGTCTAATTGATCAAATTAATCTTCCAGTATTGTCTTCATGCATGCTCAATCATCCATAGAACGAAATCCAAAAAGTTAATCTGTTCTACGTCCAGAAGAACAGATTCAACTCTCCTTTAAAGCTCTGTATGGAAAGAGTTTGGAGTAACCAGGCTGACACCTTTCAGTCTTTCTCTAAATTACATTTTGTTTATCCTACACAGGTGGACCAGGAAGTAATATACACCAATGTGGGAAACATTAGAAGAAAATCACCCGAGGTAACCCTAACATACTACAACTATACATTTGTATTTGAGTATAAGCAGACTTTAACTTTTTTTTTCTTAAAGAATGACACGACTGTAAAGTGTTCTGTTTCCACTCCTTTTGTTTTCCCCCAGATGTCACTTCCTGAAAGTGATGGGGAAGTCATGTACAGTTCAGTTGTTACCCCCAGGGATCAATAAAGTATTCTGATTCTGATTAGAAGAAAATCACCCGAGGTAACCCTAACATGTGTCTGTGAAGGTTCTCAGTCATCCAGGTCATCGTAGTCAAAGGAGCTTGCAAAGAAAAGCGTCTGGACTTCTTTAAGTTGCTTGAAGACGTTTCACCTCTCATCCGAGAAGCTTCTTCAGTTCTAAGGTCAAATGGTGGAGAGTCCATCTATGTCCACTGTGAGCGATCATCTGTGAACAGAGGCGGGGGTTTACGACACCAACTCTCTGCCATCTATAATCCAGTTTTGAGATCCCTTCCCAGACGCCTTAACGCCCACTCACATCCTGGGCCATCTGACCTCAGGAATTCGCATGATAAGGTGGGGCCAGGTTTCACAATGAACACACCCGAAACTCTGGCTGATTGGGACCCACGCCCAGTTTCACACCTTGGCTCAGGCGATTAGAGGATCATCAGGGGGTTCTTTTGTCCCTCTGTGGGGGGTTACTCCCACTGGGACTCTCCACCATTTGACCTTAGAACTGAAGAAGCTTCTCGGATGAGAGGTGAAACGTCTTCAAGCAACTTAAAGAAGTCCAGACGCTTTTCTTTGCAAGCTCCTTTGACTAACCCTAACATTCTACAACTATACATTTGTATTTGAGTATAAGCAGACTTTAACTTTTTTTTCTTAAAGAATGACACGACTGTAAAGTGTTCTGTTTCCACTCCTTTTGTTTGTTCAGTTGTTACCATAAAGAAACAAGAGGGTAATATTAAAGACCTGAAACCAACACACACGATTTCTCACATACTGTTTCTCTCTTTTCAAATAATTTAGCTCATTATCCTCATAAGACATGATTCGCTTTAAATTTGGTCACCTTGGTCTTTGCTTTTTCTTTCTAATCGTCATATTTGTTTCTGTTCTCTGTTCTCAGAGTGAGGCAAAAGACACAGAAGTTACATGCAGCACATTAGCCAATCACTACTGAAATCTTTAAATATTAGAACTTTTGGCCTTTCTGTCTCTTTATATCTACCTTTTACTGGTGTTTTTGCAGGATACAGTGTTTTTTTTTTTTACTGTCAGCAGATCAGTCACCTAGCCATGCAGTATGGCTACAGATTTGCATTCTCCAAAGAGCTCACTGAACTGGTCCAGTAATGGTATAGTAATAGGATGGGACTGTTGCAACAAGTCAGTTTGTGAAATTTCTTCCACAATCAACTCTAAGTTATGTTATTGCAACCTGGAAACATTTTGGAACCACAGAATCTCAACAATGTATTGGCAGTACATGTAAAGTTACAGAGCAAGATTGCTAAGAACTGAGGCGTATAGGGTGTCTTGTCTTGTCACTTCCTGTTTTGCTTTGTATAACCTGTTCCTTTGTGTGTGTGTGTGTGTGTGTGTGTGTGTGTGTGTGTGTGTGTGTGTGTGTGTGTGTGTGTGTGTTGTGTATGTTGTGTGTTTAGATTTATGGAGATTGTTTCCTGCTATTCATTTAGTTTTCTGTCTGCTATAAACACACTCTTAAACCTTGTTGAAAGAACATCCCAGAAGAGTCGAAGCTCTTATAGTTGCTTAACTGTCAATTTTGTTTCTCAACAGGGTGAAGGAAAAGGCACAGAAGTTACATATAGCACATTAGCTACTCTCCACTGAAATATTTAAATGTTATAACCTTTTGCATTTTGTGTACCTGTATTACTGGAGTCTTTGTCAGACAAGTGCTGCAATTTGTTATCTGCTCTCATCAGCTTGTTATATGATTTTTTGTTTTTAACTGCTGTTTAAGAACTATATTCCTGCATATTTGCAAAGTGAGTCAAAGAAGTGTTGATCTGTTTGCTCTTTTATCAAGATCGTTGACATTAATCTTGTTTTTTTGTTATTTTTTGTAATAAAGAAGCATTGCAAGCATCAACAATAATGGGTAATCCTGACCTCTATCATCAGGTTGTGTGAGAACTCTCAGTGTATATCAAACATTTTGTCTTTGTTGAATGAGAGTGGAATTATATACTATTTGGAAAGATTAAGCATGCAGTCTGCCTTTATGTAAATTTTTTAAAACATAAATATGTGTGTAATGAGTCATTCTAAAGACCTCACTAAATTGGTACTGCATCTTTGTTTCATCCTGGACACGATTCTGACACACACTAATCCTCAGCCTCCTTCCTTCCACTTAGCCTACAGTCTCAGGGTGCTACATCTTGGACTAAAACCCTCCGTGCATAGGACAGAGTCAGTGGCATCTAACTTCTCCTTTGGCCAGCTTATTAACCCAGCAGGGTATTTGATGACTGGCAGGGTGCAGGTGTTGATAGCCCAGGATTTTGTTCTTCCCATTCAGCTGAGTCCTCAAGACTTGCCTTACCCTCTGGAGGTATTTGGTGGTTGTGGCTTTCCTAGTAACTTCTTCATGGTTCCCATTTGCCTGTGAGATTCCACCTAGCTAACCTCAATGTCTGCAATGTTCCCTTCTGGAAGTGCAGTCCCCTCAGTTTGTTACCGTATGACTCAGGGCTGGACGGGGACAAAAATTCAATATGGCTAGTGGGCCATATATCTACATATTAGATTAGATTAGATTAGATGAAACTTTATTAATCCCTCGGGTGGGTTCCTCTGGGAAATCCAGTAGCAAAGCACCGAAAGAAGTTGCATGTTACAGATACATTAAGGGGAATGAGAGTAAGGATATAAGCATAAATACACCATATATACACATATATAGATACGGAAAATACAATATGGATATATAGGATTGCTCATTTGAGTAAGTATATTGCACAGTGATTATTGCACAGTCAAATATAAGAAAAAAGACAAAACAAAAAAAAAATATTGCAAATATTGCACAGTGTAGAAAAGCACCTACAACTCAGTTGTTCCCGCCCTCCCTTGTCCCCTGTTTCTCCTCCCTCTCCCCTCCAGTGAGGAGTTAAACAGTCTGATGGCGTGTGGGACAAAGGAGTTTTTAAGTCTGTTGGTTTTTGACTTTGGGAGAAGATACATATATCTATGCATTTCATTTTGTTTGACAGGTTTTAATCAGGTTGGTACAGTTGCTGTTATTTATTTCTTAGTTGCATTGCAGCATGTGACAATTAAAAATTACACTTTAGCTGTTAGCAGTGGCTCATGCTCAAAGTAGCCATTCATTTAACCCAAATCCTTGAATCTCTCATATCCTATTTATGTTCCTCCATCTATACTCTTACTCTTTGATTTCATCTTCCTTCATCTCTTTCTCACTTCTCTACAGCTGGTGCTCCAGCAGCAGCCTTCTGTGACTGTTGTGGTCGCAAATTTTGAAGCCATCATGATAACCTTATCTTCACCAGCGATTTGGAGGTCCAGCTTTTTTTTTTTTTTTTTTTTTTAGATCCAATTGAAATCAATGCATTGAAAATGATTCTGTGGGAAAAGAGTAGTATTCTTGGAACAGTTTAATACACTGCATCATATGAACAGGAGGAAAAATACATACAAACATTTTACCTGAGAATTAAATAGCAGAAAGCAAGCAAAGCAAAACCCCAGGGTGTACAGGTTTAAGCGCATGCAGATTGGGACCAACCCCACCGGACAGATAGCAGTAAAAAAAGCTCAGAGGGTTTTCCCAGGTCCTCTTTTAAAGGTGCCAGTAGTCCCACCTCCTGCTGCTGAGTAAGTTTCCCATGCGGCCAAAAACAGTAGGTGCAGGGTCAAGTATGGGCCAGGGCCATTTCCCAGAGGGGCACCCTTAGGCTACGTTCACACTGCAGGTCTTAATGCTCAATTCCGATTTTTTGATCAAATCCGATTTTTTTTGTCTGCTCGTTCACACTACAAATAAAATGCGACAGCAAACGCTCTCTAGTGTGAACGCTCAGAGCGGCCCGCATGCGCAAAAGAAGACGTCACACACAACGCGCTCTGTTTAGACCCAGAGCAAACAATATTGTTTGACTGATGGCCCTTAATATAAAGACTTCGGACTTTACGTTTCCCAATTTTTGCTTTAAGTTATTTTGTTATTCACATAATAATGTAAATAACCTAATAATTATCCTTATTGCTGTTTTAGAGAGGAGCGGTGCTTCAAAGGATAGCTGCAGATTTCTGTCAGAATCTGCAGATTATGTACAAATAAAATGTTTACGTTTCTCCAACGTTGTCTTCCCAGCAGTTTCACCGGATGGCTAGGAAGCGTTCGCGATGTCGTCTCGGTCGCTGATAATTGGCGTCTGTCTTGTGTCGGTGACGTAAAAGACGGATTTAATGCGACATGACCATTCACACAGCAGTCGCTTTCTGAAACATCGGATATGTACCACATACGAAAGTGACCCAGATCGGATTTGAAAATATCGGATTTGTGCCGTTCACACTGTCATACCATGATCGGATATGGGTCGCATAGGGTCAAAAAAATCGGATTTGATGCGCTTTCGCCTGCAGTGTGAACATAGCCCAAGTTTAACCATTTGCTTTGTCTTCTGACAGTAGGTCAAAACATAGTGTGGTGGCAGATTTCTTTTCTCATGTATTAATCACATATTTCAACTATATCACTTTAGTATAGTAAGAGTACTCCTGTCACCAGTTTGTTTGCATGTGGAATGTCATCATAAGTGGGGCCCAAGTTTTATTGCACCTTCACAGCAGACTCATTTTCCTCTTGAGGACTCTGGACATCCTGTTGCAGATGAGGTGACGGTTGGTCGGAGCTTTTCTTACACTGAACAGTTAAGGATCTGCTAATAATTGATCTGCTGTGGAATGTTCTTTGTTTAAGAGTGTCTGTGTCTGCGTATATAAGATGTAAGGGCGGTGTTAGGTATTTTAGTACCATGGTAGCATTTACTGGATATTGTTTTATAGTGACATTATACAGGAAAACTCTGTCATTCAATAAGGCCCCTTTGTTTTAGTTATTTTCTCTTTGACCCAAGAATTGATGTGTGAGAATCACAGGCTGGTACAAGGTTGAAATACCACAGAGATCACTCCCTCAGCTACATTAGTTTCTTAATCTCTTAGGAGATGTTGAAGGCCAGATGGTTTGTTTCAGAATTCACTAATGAAAGAACTCTTTATTTTTTGCCTTGAAAATATGTCGCTAAGATAATCACAATTGTAGCTGAACTGATAAACTACACAAAGGATGCTTCTTCACCCAAGGGCAGGAAGACGCTCCCTTATCTTGGTCTGTACTGGTTTAAACTGATAATCTGCTGTCTCATGAATTTTACCCTCTATATAAAACTGTGTACTTGTGAATAAAGTTGAGTCCATTGGGAAGACAACCTGAAGCAGTCTCTGTTTTCTTGTTCTCCCAAGCTGCTCCGAGCTCGTACTAACACGCTGAATGGCATGCTTGAATGTTGCTTGGAATTATTTGACTGTGTTACAGACTAAGGGACATTCTCTGCTGATAGGTGAAGGTACATTCTCTGCTGATAGACGTCCACGCCTCGGAGGAAGTCGATCCACCACAGTAAAATGTGTGGCTGTTGCTGGAATACCTGTCAGTATGCTGGGGACATCTGGGACAAGAGGAGGTAGAGGCATAATGACTGCATTAATTTGCCTTAAGTCTTGTGTGAAACGCCATATGCCAGGTTTGTTAGGCTTTGGCACAGGATTGACAGGAGTGTTATATGGAGATACTGTGGGCTTTATTACTCCAGCTGTCAATAAATCTCCTATGATGATGTCTAAGGCTGCGGCTTTTTCAGCGGAAATGGGATATTGCTTGACATATACTTGCTTGTTGTTTTTCAGCTGAGCATGATAAGGTGTACAGTCAATAAATCCTACATCATTCTCACCTCTTGACCATAATGTCATTTCTATATTCAGCTGGCAATGTGACAGCAGAGATAGTACAGTGTATGGGGTAGGTTAGATCTATGTGTCGACATGGTGCAGTAATGTCATAACCTATGTCTGAGTTATGTGACAAAACCACTGTTTTATCTTCACTGGTGTGAGCAGTTATCATGTTGTTAAACAGTGTGAGAGAAACAAAAGTGTGGCTCCCAGATGTGGGATTACCTGGTAGTGGTATTTGTACACGTTTTTGGCACAGTGTGTGACGTGGAATACCGGACAAAAGGATGTTGAGTTCATTCTCTGCTGAGGTGTCCAGCTGACACAGAGGCTGTTCCTTCTCCATGGTGTCGGTGCATAGGGCAGAGAAAACATAGCTGTTATCAGTATCTGCAAAATTCACCCTTTGTGTTAATGAAATACACAGTTCATTTTGCATTAAATCTCTGCCTAATAGATTCACAGGCGAGTTTGGATATTATGAATGGATGATATGTAATTTCATCTGGTTTGGGCCCCAGCGTGTCTTTAGAGAATGAGTTTTGGGCATTGCATAGAGTTCCGTTTATTCCCATGGTGTTGATGCACACAGAGGAAACAGGCCCACTATAGAATTTTCCAGACAGTGAACTTTTAGTGGCTCCACTGTCAACTAAAAAAGAATAAATCTTTTCACCTATTTCTATATCTAACATGGGCAAGCTTTCTGTGTTACGGGACAATTGCAAATGCAGCATCGTGTGTAGTGCTTCACACTGTCCCTTATCCTCACCTGGGCCTCCCTATTGTCGGTCCAGCCTTTCGTTATCATATGGGTGGGGATTAAAATGTGGATTATAAGGTTGCTGCCGAAGTGCAAAGGGGCCATTATTTTGATGTGATTCCTGTCTGCGTTGCCAGTTAACTTGTCTGGAAGAGCTCTGCTGACGCCTAGTGGCAGGAGCTGGTCCTGCGTTTTGTGGTTGAGACCCACGTGCTGCTGATTTGCATTCCCTCCTCCAGTGCCCTATTTTTCCACAGTAAAAACATACGTCTCCACTCCTATCTCTCCTTCTGAGATCTCCCTGCTGCGCTTGTTGAGGGGGCGGGGCCCCTGCATACATCATTTTCTCACTTTCCTCTGAGCCTTCAACATCAAAATTTAACATCATTCTAACATTTTTAGCCTTCGTGCTGTTGGGAAAAAGATCTGCACCGGCTTTCGTTTTGACAAGTGTGATAAAGTTCTTTATCTTCATGTCATAGAGATTATCAGTGGCAGTCAGCTTCAATAGTTGTGAACATTCTGGATGAATATTGTTTAAGAATGTTGTTATGAAAATCTGATCATTTCCACCTTCAGGCATGCATGCCTCATTAGTCCAGCAGTGCATGAAACGTTTCATAAACACTAGAATAAATTCATCTGGCTTTTGCTTGCACATGGTTACTGCATTTAAATCGATTTTATCTCTAGACATTGTGAGCAGAAATTTCTTTAGATTTTGAAAAAAGGCTGTGATTTGTCATCGTTTATCCACAAAAACGAGGTGGTGTTGGCTGCTTGGTCATTTTTAGGGTCTAGTTCCTCTACTTCTTCAATAAGCTGAGATTCAGTCACACCTGGGATTCGTTGACATAATATATATCTATAATCAGGCCCACCCAAGTGGTGGTCCGCTATTTGTGATTTTATATTTTATTTTTTTCGGTTTTACAGTTAATTTTTGATTTTTTATCGGACCCGTCTAAGGTCTTTGAATTATTCTGACCCATGGTCAGTGATTTCCAGAGGGGTTTAGACGCTTGAAGGATTTAAGTTAGTTTTATTTTGCTGTGGCACACCTGAGGTTACTTGATTTTTTGCTAGCAATTTTATCTTTTTAGTGAGCAACTTCTCACTTTTTAACGAGCAACTTCTCGTTTTATGACCACAGGCAACTTCCTGTGTCCTTTCTGCTGGTGAGCAACTTCTTAGTTTATGACAGCAGGCAACTTCCTGTGTCCTTTCTGCTTTAATTTACAAAACAACAGGCAACTTCCTGTGTTTCTATGTGGGCCACTAAAGAAGGCTCCTCAGTGTATCCCACTTGTTACTATGTGGGCCACTGAAGAAGGCCTCGTCAGCGTATCCCGTTTCTATATGGATCACTGAGAAAGGCATAACACAGTCTTATAAAATAAAAGACACGTGCCTACCTTCATCAGGATCCCACTTCTGACACCAAAATTGAAGGAAACGGTTTCCAGGGCCTAATCCGTGGATCGACTTCCTCCGAGGCGTGGACGTCTATCAGCAGAGAATGTCCCTTCACCTATCAGCAGAGAATGTCCCTTAGTCTGTAACACAGTCAAATATATTCTCAAGCAACATTCAAGCATGCCATTCAGCGTGTTAGTACGAGCTCGGGAGCAGCTTGGGAGAACAAGAAAACAGAGACTGCTTCAGGTTGTCTTCCCAAATTGACTCAACTTTATTCACAAGTACAACAGTTTATATAGAGGGTAAAATTCATGAGACAGCAGATTATCAGTTTAAACCAGTACAGACCAAGATAAGGGAGCGTCTTCCTGCCCTTGGGTGAAGAAGCATCCTTTGTGTAGTTTATCAGTTCAGCTACAATTGTGATTATCTCAGCGACATATTTTCAAGGCACAAAATAAAGAGTTCTTTCATTAGTGAATTCTGAAACAAACCATCTGGCCTTCAACAGGCGTCTCCTAAGAGATTAAGAAACTAATGTAGCTGAGGGAGTGATCTCTGTGGTATTTCAACCTTGTACCAGCCTGTGATTCTCACACATCAATTCTTGGGTCAAAGAGAAAAATAACTAAAACAAAGGGGCCTTATTGAATGACAGAGTTTTCCTGTATAATGTCACTATAAAACAATATCCAGTAAATGCTACCATGGTACTAAAATACCTAACAGGCGGTGGCCACAATTCAGAGATGGTCCTGGTGTTTCACTGGGATGTTCTCTCCACACTGCAATGTGTTTATTAAACCCAATTCAAATCAAGCTCACTGGTTGTGTTGCAGGTTATTGTTAAATTTTCCACAACAATAGTCAAAGGTCACACATTAGTACAGCAAATAGCATAGTTTCTTGTGATAATCTTACGATATACATGTGTATAATACTTCACCTAACTACATCAAATATATGGGTTAAATGCTTTATATAGTGATAAACACTCCAGTGTGGGTTAATATATATTGTGTGTTCATGTGTGTGTGTACTTGATCACATAATCTTTACAGTGATTTCATGATGTTGTTTTCAGCATCTCTGTTACCACGTTACTGTTTTCTAAGAGACATGTTTTTGAATGTGCTGCATGAAAAACGTTTATTGTGCGTGGGTGCGTGTCAAGGAAAAACATCTCGTGCCTAAGACTCTACATACAAAGTTACAGTATATGTTCAATGCAGATATATAGTGTATATAGGTATACATGTCATACAAAAATCCACCACATTATGAGACCTGGTTACGAGGTGTTACTGGTACTACTGTTCACCATGCGGTAACAGCCCCACAGCTAACAAGTCAGTAAATTTGACACACTATTATTAGCTTACTTTTTGTTGTTTTCTCTCAGTTTTCAAGCTCCACCTTTTCGCCACTTCTTCCAAACTAAAGTTTTCCTACAACGTGCATAAGCACACAGTGAAGATAGGGGAGGGGCTGGTCCTTTGTCAGCTCACTTTTGTGAAGTGTTTTACATAGGAGGAAGAGTGATTGCAACTGCAGTGGCAGTGGCATACTTAGGGTTGAAAAATAGGAAGTTTATACGGTTTTGTCTGCTCACTTATCAATATGGCTCTCTGTCTCAGGATTATTTATATCATCACTGGACTAACAGGTATGTGCCAGGGGCTTTTAAAAATTGCTTAGCATCTCTGTTGATTTTCAATTTCCAATAGCATAAATATTTGTAATAGCTTACCAAAAGAGATTTTATTTTATTAGCAAAACATTTAATTCTGAAAACATGTACATAATCAACAGAACTATTCTATTAAAATGTGCATTTGTTTCTTTGCAGGAGTTCACAGCATAACTACAGTCAGTAAAGTATCAGTGAAAACTGGGAAATCTATCTCCATCCCATGTCTCTATGAGTCCAAATACAGAAACCATGTGAAGTACTTTTGTGAAGGAGCTAAATGGAGATCCTGCAACGATGTAGTAAAAACAAACACAGCAGACCCTTCAGGAAAATATTCAATCTCTGATGATAAAAACCAATTTTTTTTTACTGTAACTATAAACAATCTGACAAATGAAAACACTGATTACTGGTGTGTGGTGGAGATTAATAATGGACCGGATTATGGAGAGCATTTTCAACTGTCAGTTACCAGTGGTGAGGTTCCATCTTTGTTAACATTTTAAAGTTGTTGTTATTAAAAGTTAATAGAAATAGACGTGAAATCTAAATTGCCAATGGTTTTTCAAATCTGTATTTTTGTCCTTCTATCCACTCATTACTTTATTTATTTTAATGTTTGTCCTTGAAGGGACCCCCAGTCTCTATGTGGATCATCAGATGATTACAGGATACATTGGAGAAAGCATAACCATCAGATGTCACCACAGTAACTCTGGAGAAATGAAGTGGTGCAGGCTGGGCAGGAACTGTGTGACAGGATCATCTGGATCCATAGATGGAACAACAGTGACCACTTATATGAGCGAACCAAATGTTTTCACAGTGACAATGAGTGGACTACAGTCAGAGGACAGTGGCTGGTATTGGTGTGCTAAAGGGGACATTCAGATACCAGTATATTTAACTGTTACTGAGAAACCAATCACCAGTGAGTACTGCAAGTAATTATGAACTTGGCACATGTATCAATTCCAGCCATTTATAAATTTTAGTACTCTCAGAGATATTAGGTCAATCATTGTTACAGTACTCTAGTACTGACTGTTGTTTTGTTGAATTATAGCTACTGCCCATACTTGTACTGGAGATGGAACAGTTACCACATTAAAAAATAAACAACAAAGGTCAGATATGTTTTATATTTGCAGTAGATTTAGCGACAGAACTGTTCTTTTGTCTAAAAATCTTTTACAGCTGAATATAATTATTATGCTAAACTAAATTATGTGTTTTCAAACTGCATGTTGCAGAGCTTCATTTGACCTCAAGATCCTCATCATCCGTCTGAGTGTGTTGATCTTTATTGTAATTGTGGTGTTGTTCATCTGGTTAATACTGAGACACAGTAAGTCTTGTTAAACTTTGATTGAAATCCAAACAATATTTACTTCAAAATCTTGAAACTGCATTAGGATTTATTCTGCATTGTTAACATAGAGTCTGTAACAGGTGCTTTGTTTTTTTGTAGAGCAGAGAAAAGCAGACTCATCAGCCACAGCAATGGTAAGTTATATTGATTTGTGTTCATCTGGACACAGCGTCCAGATTCAACTCTCTGGGATAATCTCCATATTATAAACATATTATAAAGGCTCTGTATGAAAAGAGTTTGGAGTAACCAGGCTGACACCTTTCAATCTTTCACTAAATTACATTTTGTTTATCCTACACAGGTGGACCAGGAAGTAATATACGCCAATGTGGGAAACATTAGATGACTCTGCGGTGGTTGGATGCATCAGCAGGGATGATGAGACAGAGTACCGGACTGTGGTCGACTCCTTTGTCACGTGTTGTGAGCAGAATCATCTGCAACTCAACGTGGCAAAGACCAAGGAATTGATAGTGGACTTCAGGAAGACCAGGAAACACTTGACCCCTGTTTCAATCCAGGGGTCAGTGTTGACATTGTGGAGGACTATAAATACCTTGGAGTTCACATTGACAATAAACTGGACTGGGCTAAAAACACCACAGCACTTTACAGGAAGGGCCAGAGTCGTCTCTATTTTTTGAGGCGACTGACGTCCTTTAACATCTGCCAGAAAATGCTCAGGATTTTCTACGAGTCTGTTGTGGCCAGTGCGATCTTCTATGCTGTTGCATGCTGCAGGAGCAGGCTGAGGGTAGCAGATGCCAACAGACTTAATAAACTAATCTGTAAGGCCAGTGATGTTGTGGGGATGGAGCTGGACTCCCTCAAGGTGGTGTCGGAGAGGCGGATGTTGTCCAAAATAAAGACAATGTTGGATAACACCTCCCACCCACTCCATGACATGCTGGTCAGTCACAGGAGCACGTCCAGTGAGAGACTGAGATTACCGAAAAGCACCACTGAACGACACAGGAAATCTTTCCTGCCTGTGGCCTTCCCCCAGGGATCAATAAAGTATTCTGATTCTGATTCTGATTAGAAGAAAATCACCTGAGGTAACCCTAACATACTACAACTATACATTTGTATTTGAGTATAAGCAGACTTTAACTTTTTTTTCTTAAAGAATGACACGACTGTAAAGTGTTCTGTTTCCACTCCTTTTGTTTGTTCAGTTGTTACCATAAAGAAACAAGAGGGTAAATATTAAAAGACCTGAAACCAACACACACGATTTCTCACATACTGTTTCTCTCTTTTCAAATAATTTAGCTCATTATCCTCATAAGACATGATTCGCTTTAAATTTGGTCACCTTGGTCTTTGCTTTTTCTTTCTAATCGTCATATTTGTTTCTGTTCTCAGAGTGAGGCAAAAGACACAGAAGTTACATGCAGCACATTAGCCAATCACTACTGAAATCTTTAAATATTAGAACTTTTGGCCTTTCTGTCATTTTTATATCTACCTTTTACTGGTGTTTTTGCAGGACATATGCTGCAATGTTTTCTTTTACTGTCAGCAGATCAATCACCGAGCCATTCAGTTTTCCTCCATTTTCGAAAGATTTGCATTCTCCAAAGAGCTCACTGAACTGGTCCAGTAATGGCATTGTAACAGGACTGTAACTGACTGTTGCAACAAGTCAGTTTGTGAAATTTCTTCTCGCCTCAATCTTCCACAATCAACTCTAAGTTATGTTATTGCAACATGGAAAGATTTTGGAACCACAGCATCTCAGCAATGCATTGGTAGTACATGTAAAGTTACAGAGGAAGATTGCTGAGTGCTGAGGGATATAGGGTATTATCAATGTTTTGTTGACTTAAAACTCCAAGCCTGCTCTGACATCGCCAAAAACCTTTTGCAGGAGCTTCAAGGCATGGGTTTCTATTTTTCTGACCAGGGTTCTGAGTTTTCTTGGGTTTAAGTATAATTTTTGTTTCTTATTTCTCATGGATCATGTTTTTTGTGTCTTGTTTGCCTTGTTTAGAGTTTTTGCTTTAATTTAGTTCATTATGTTGTAAGACTAGTTTATCAAAGATAAACTAGTCTTGATTAATTCCTTTCTTCCTGTTCATCCAAGCCCTTCCTGTGTTTCCATGTCTTGCTAAGTCTCTGTCCCATTTTATTTACTTCCTGTTTTCCTTGTAATTGTGTGTGTGTTTAGATTTATGGACATTGTTTTCTGCCATTCAGTTTGTTTTGTGTGTGTGCCATAAACACATTCCTAAACTTTGTGGGAAAAAAACGTTGGAACACCAGCAAAAACCAGTGCATAGTTGCAATATTTTGTCCCGTCTTGTTGACATGTTTGCGTTTGATAACTTACTGCTTTTATTATGTTAAAGTTTTTTTTTCTTTTTTTATCATATGGACTGTCTTTATGTCCTCGTGTACATTGGTCACATTGCTTTTTCAGAAAACAAATCATTACCTAATGTAAACAGATGATGCTTAAGGGAAAAAATGTGAATATATAGATGAGCAGGGAAATAGTTGATTGTTTCATTCTTTTTTCATTCCTTTAGAATGATGAATGTTCTCTCTGTCGCCTCTAAAATTTTGGTTTTTAAAGAAGAACTCAAATTTTCATTTGTGACTGATGGAGCATTTACTATTTACCAGTTCTGGTATTATAATTACAGATAAGCTAACATGGGATGATATTCATTGATAAGACATTCATTGCTAATCTGTTTTTATGGATGTGTAATTAGACTTAATTTATTCTCACTACCTGTTAAAGCATACAAAACTGGAAGGCTATATAATTGATTTTTTGTCATTTTTACACATGTATAATCTCATATTTATGTTGTCTTCTTTATCATTAAAGATTTATGGATACATCTGGTTTGAAAAAAAAAAGAAAAGCAGCCAATATCCAAAGAAAATATTAAAACGACCTTCAAAAGGCCTGAAGTACTCAAGATCATTTTAAAAAAAAAAGTCTGGAAGCAAAATACAAAGAAATAAGCAGTGACTCAAAACTTTTGCACACAAGTATGTAAAACTAATATTTAGACCTCGAGCTAATATTTATGCCACATAGGGAGAATCTCTCCAAACCCTCAGAACAACAGTTGTCTCGAATTTTTCCACAGTTACAGTTTCTTTAACCAGTATCCACTTCAACAAATCTAATACTTTTATTGAATATCACACTCACTAGCTGATAGGTACATTTATGCATATCATAAAAAGAAAATGATAAAAAGAATTTTTTTTAATATGTTGCTTGGCTACTCATTCAATGTTCAATGTTGATTCACACACAAGGGGGCAGGCTTTATCCAGTGCAAAGAAGGGCAGGGTGTGTATGTGTGTGTGTGTCCATGCTCAACTTATTGACAAACCTTGCAAGCTCTGACATCTAATTCAGTGTTACAGCGTTCAACTTACTTGGACTGTTGCTTCACCCTAACCCAGGAGTGTTAATTTCAAGAATACCACTGGTTAGTGCTCATTTTTGTAAATATTTTAAATAACTATAATTTTTTTTAATGACAAAGCACAAAACAAAGTTTTCTTTTATTTTTTAAAGGCTGAATATGCTCTTTTTCTTCAGAATATGGAATAAATGCGAAGACTGACTTTTCAATACATTTTCCACTTATTACTCTATTTATTTTGATTTTATTTATGTATTTATTTATTCTTAATTGATTTAATTTGTATTTATTTGTTTATTTTCATTAAAGGTACCACCAGTCTCTATGTGGATCATCAGACAATTACAGGATATTTTGGAGAAAGCATAACTATTAGATGCCACCACAGTAACTCTGTTCAGTGGCTTTAGTGTAATAAATGAACATCATAAACACAAACATTGTCAAGAGAAGTGGCATGGAGAGACATTGATGTTTCCCTGGATTACCTGTCATCACATCTGTGAGACGGTAAAAGGTCTTAACATCCAGCGTTTTGTGAGCTTTTGAGTATGTGCATTTGGTGATAGTAAATCATCTTTTTTCTTAATCATAAATATAATTAAGTTATGTTTAATTGATATGGTGAATGAGAAATGAGGGTTGACTAATGAAAATTATGTTAATGTCTAGATTTTCTGTGCATAGACATGATCCAGCTTCGACCGTAGCAGAGAAATGTGTCACCAATTCAATATTATATATGATTCCTAATAAGAGAAATGGTATTAAGTATGATGTACTCGTTCACCAAAGAAACATTATTCATATGTGATTTTGCTGACAGTTAATTCTGCTTAATTGCTTCATACTGATCAGAATATCATCAGGTATAAGTTTTTCATATATATCGAATAAGACGATATCATTTAAATGATGATATTCCTCTGTATTTGAATTAACGAGAGATTATGTGAAAATAGATGTTCATGTGAGAATGAGCTAATGTGAAGTATACAGTATTCATCTGTGACGGATTGTTCATATGGAACAGAATTTTTTATGTTAAGAATGACATAGAAGAGAACAAAATGTAAATAAGTGATTTTATTGTTTTAAACTATGTATGTGGAAAAGTCAGATAGAGAAAAGATGATAAGGTGTAGCTGGGGATCGGTTGTTGTCAGTAAGGTAAATCTGATGTCACAATAGGTGATTATTATTTGATTCTGTTCTTGTTTTTCTCTGGCTAAATTGCTTTAATAAAATATCCTCCATTAAAGAAGTCTAAGTTGTGGACATTCCCTTTTTAACACTTTGTGAAACAGTAAGGGGAAAAACCCGAGTATTAATCCATTTTAGTGTGAGTCAGACTACTTGTTCTTTTTATTAAGAAGAATTATCATAAAAGAATTACAAAAATTTGAAAAGTCAATACCTACATTTTAAAATATTCAGTTAACAATAACTCAAAACAAATGTGACTTATTAAAAATAATAATACATCTGAGAAACATTTTATATATACGTGTTATTATCCATCTATCTTATGTATGAAATATTTTTGAGTTGTGTTATTATTTTTGAAGCCTACAGTGGCTGTTTTACTGTAAGTCTGCTGTATATTTTGATGATACCTCACCTGTATGATCCACTTTAAATGCTTGAATTATTTCATAACCATATTTGTTCAAGGATTCAATGATTCAAGGAAGCTGTATTGTCATTCGCATCACATGTTTACATGAGGTAGAACGAAACTACGTACACACGGTTCCTGAGCGAAAAGAAACAGAATTTTAAAAAAACCAGATTAAAACAAAAATAATAACAGAAAACAATGAATAACAATAAAATAACAATAACAATATAAAACCGAATAACAAGTAATAAAGTAATACAAATAAATAGAGTGCAATAAATACTTTAGCAGCAAAAGGGAATAATGACCAGCATTGATAAGGTGACGATGTCAGTAAGTGTCATTAGTGATTAAGGAGCTATAATAACAGTTCTTGTCCATTATGCATTAAGAAGTCTCACAGCTTCTGAAATAAAGCTGTTTCTCAGTCTGGTAGTTTTGCATTTAAAGCTCCTCAGCCTCCTGCCTAAGAGGAGCGGGACACAGAGTGAGCGTGCTGGGTGAGTGGGCTCCTTCATGATACAGGTGGCCCTCTTCCTGCATTTGCATAGAGCATAGAACACTCTCCACTAGTGATGTTCGATTCGTGAACGAATCGTTCAATACTCGAGAATCACTTTACTGACTCGTGAATCATGATTCACAAGCCCAACTGACTCACTGACTCATCCCTGTTGTTGTTAGCAAACTAATTCCATTAGTAGAAATATATCTAGCTTATAATTACAATTGTGGGGGGGGACACAAAAGCATTTCTACTCTGAACTGGAAGAAAAAACCCTGAGTAGAAGCTCACATCAAGAAAATAGCTCCTCGGTTCAGAGTAGCATCGCTCTGCTAACATGCTAACAACACATTTGATCTACTCACCCCCTCCCTTCCTGTGCTGAATCATAGAGCGAACGAATCACTCACTCACTCACTAACCCCCTCCCTCCTGTGCTGAATCGTAAGCGTAAGCGAATCACTCAGCACTCACTAACCCCCTCCCTCCTGTGCTGAATCGTAAGCATAAGCGAATCACTCAGGACTCGCTCACCCCCTCCCTCCTGTGCTGAATCATAGAGCGAGCGAGCGAATCACTCACTCACTCACCCCCTCCCTCCTGTGCTGTATCATAGAGCGAGCGAACGAATCACTCACTCACCCCCTCCCTCCTGTGCTGTATCATAGAGCGAGCGAACGAATCACTCACTCACCCCCTCCCTCCTGGCTCACAGCTTCTTCTTCTTCTTGGTTGGAAACCAATGTTAAGGCGCATTGCCGCCCCCTGGCTCACAGTTCAGTGGACATTTAGATGAGAAAATATATATTTGACACACTTAAGGAAAATACTAATAAAATACAAATAAACAAAATAAATGTTTATTAAGCAATTTTGATAGGAAATTGCTTAATTTTAGAAATGTTTTTGCTCTTTTTCGCTCTATAAAATAGTTGTTGTTTTTTTTTTTGAATCATTCATCTTAGCAGTGGGATTTACATGAAAAGAGAAACAAATTAAGTTTGAGTGAAAATGTAAAATTTTTGCACCCTCTGGTCAACTGACTCAGTGAATCAAATGACTCAAAAAACCCGATTCATTTTGGTGAGTGACTCATTAAAACTCGATTCAGTAAAAAGAATCAAATTTACCATCACTACTCTCCACACACATCTATAAAAGGAGATGAGAACAGAGCTCTCAAGCGGAAGTGTTGCATCTTTACTTAAATTAGGAAATAGAATCAAGTGTTTCTCTGTTCACTCACAAACATGCCTGCCCACCTCACTGTTCTGCTCATCTTTAGAATAGAATAGAATAGCCTTTATTGTCATTGTACAGAGTACAACGAAATTGGAGTGCCACTCCCTTGGTGCAAGTTTCAATAATAAATATAAATGTAAAATATAAAAAATACAAAAAAACAATCATAAGTACTCAAACAATAGTATGTACAATATATACAGAATAGCAGCATTAATATAATGACAGTATGAATAGCAGCATAATATAATGACAGTGACGGTATGGAATAGGTTCAATTGTTTTTGTGCTTATTTACTACGGTGATAGCTCTGGGAAAGAAGCTATCCCTGAATCTGTTTGTCCTGGTTTTATGTGACCTGTACCGTTGGCCTGACGGTAATAGTTCAAACAGTTGGTTGCTGGGGTGAGAGTGGTCCTTGATGATATTGCCAGCTCTGCTGAGGTACCGAGAGTTTGCAGTGACCTCCAGGCTGGGCAGAGAGCAGCCAGTGATCTTCTGGGCTGTGTTGATGACCCTCTGCAGTACTTTCCTGTCTGCAGCTGAGCACCCTGCATACCATGTTGTTATGCCGTACGTTAGGATGCTCTCTATGGTGGCTCTGTAAAATGTCACCAGCAGCCTCTCCTCCAGGTTGTTCCTCCTGAGCACTCTCAGAAAGTGGAGACGCTGCTGGGCCTTTTTAACCACCGCTGTAGTATTTGCAGTCCAGGAGAGGTCATCAGAGATCTGCACGCCCAGAAACCTTATGGAGTGTACCCTCTCCACACAGCTCCCATGAATGTACCCTTCCTGAAGTCCAAGATAAGTTCTTTAGTTTTCGTGGTGTTCAGTTGGAGGTTGTTAACTGAACACCACTCAGTCAGTCTGTTGACCTCATCTCTGTAGTCCGACTCATCCCCCCTTGAGATGAGTCCAACCACTGTGGTGTCATCCGCGAACTTTATGATGGTGTTTGAGAGATGGGTAGGGGAGCAGTCGGATGTGTAGAGCGTAAACAGGAGGGGACTCAAAACACATCCTTGTGGAGACCCGGTGCTGAGTGTGATGGTGCTGGACCGGTGGGGGCCGAGTCTGACAGACTGTGGTCTATTTGTCAGGAAGTCCTTGATCCAGAGGCAGATGGGGTTGGAGAGTCCCAGGTGAGACAGTTTCTGGACCAGGATCTCCGGGATGATATGATTGAATGCTGAGCTGAAGTCCAGAAAGAGCATTCTCACATAGCTTCCTCGGTGCTCCAGGTGACTCAGCGCAGTGTGGAGCGCTATGGTGATAGCGTCCTCGGTGGAACGATTTGTCCTGTAGGCAAATTGGTGGGGGTCCAGAGTGGGAGGCAGACCGGCCCTGATGTGCTGACAGACCAGTCTCTCAAAGCACTTCATCACTACAGGCGTAAGTGCAACAGGCCTGTAGTCATTTGGGCTGGCCACAGCTGTCTTCTTGGCGATGGGGATGATGGTGGAGGTTTTGAGGCAGGGCGGGACGGTGTTTGATGACAAGGAAAGGTTGAAGATTTTAGTGAAGACTCCGGTCAGTTCGTCAGCACATGCTCTGAGAACCTTTCCATGTATTCCATCAGGACCTGCCGCCTTCCTGGGATTCACTGACCTTAGAACACACCTCACTTGGTGCTCCCTAAGTGTTAGTGTGCCAGTGCTGGGGGCGGGTGGAAGTGGTGTGGCAGCTGAGGGCCTGGTCGTCTCAAAGCGGGCGAAGAAACGGTTTAGATCCTCAGCCAGTGAGGCATCAGTCCTAGATGTTGCCTGGTTATTGCTTCTGTAGTTGGTAATGTGATTGATCCCCTGCCACATTTTTCTGGGGTCGTTGTCAGCAAAGTGATCTTCAATCCTCCTCCTATAGGCAGCCTTAGCTTTCCTGATGCCTCTACTCAGGTCTGCCCTGGCCGCCCTATACGCAGCCCTGTCCCCTGACTTGAAGGCAGTGTTGCGGCTTTTTAGGAGGGATTGCACTTCGCTATTCATCCAGGGTTTTTGATTTGGAAACACCCTGACCCTTTTGTTGACGGTGACATTGTCAACACAGTTCCTGATGTACGAGAGTACAGTGTCCGTGTACTCCTGGAGGTTGTGGCTGGAGAATAAATCCCATACAGTTGTTGAGAAGCAGTCCTGCAGTTGAGAAAGGGCTCCTTCAGGCCAGGTTTTTATTGTCTTTGTCTGGGGCTTTGTTTTTCTCAGCAGGGGGGTGTAGGTGGGGGTGAGGGACATGCAGAGGTGGTCAGATCCAGCCAGGTGGGGGAGGGGTGTCGCTCTGAAAGCATGCTTGATGTTTGAATAGACATGGTCCAGTGTACTCAAAGGTCATCACAGGAATCATTTAAATACTTCATGTTTCACAAGCTACTGCCAGCAGATGACAAAACTAATGATTATAAAAATGTGTGATGACAAACACCAAAAAACCTTCAGTGTGACTATTAAAAATTTGACATATTAGGACAGTCATTAGTGATGTGTTGTGATGAGATCAGGCTTTCTGTAATTTACATTTTCACATTCGAGACAGGAAGAGGAAGTAACATAACATAAACTGGTTTAAAGTATTCTCAGTTATCCCCAATATAATACAACTATGTCTTTGTATTTAAAAATATCAGCACACTTTCCCCCCAAAGTGCAGAATAATAAAAATATTTTAAATGCCTCAAAGTGTAAAGCATTCAATTTCTATTCTGACATACAGGTCATTTAGTCAGTGATGTGGACAGCATGTGCAGTTAAATTTTAATCATAAAAGATATGAAATTGGCAAATAGTAAAAGAAGTAAAAACAAATCAAACTGTTTCTTCCGTCCTGTGTTTCCTTCATTTGCTTGTTGTCCTAGTATGTCATGTTTCCATTGTGATTTAATCACCTTTTTGTTGCTTTTCCTTCTCAATTGTCATATTTGTTATGTTCTACAACAGGGTGAAAAACGGTCACAGAAACACACTTTAGCTAATCAACACACCTTTTTTTTTAATACTAAACCTATATTTGCTTTTTTATCCATATCTATGTTATTGGACTCTTTGTCACTCACTGCTGCAGCATGTTGTGTGCTCACATCATCTTGTAGCCTATTTTAATCGCCTGTATATAACAACATTATAAAACCCTTGTGCTTTATTCTTAAAAACATACAGCTTTATTGCACAGTTCTTTGTTACGTTTGGCTGCCTTTAACATCATTGACACGATGCCTGGTTTAAATGAAATAAAGAAGCATCAAAAGCATCAACATCAATGCATAATCCTGACCTCTAGTTTCAGGATTTATGAGAACTCACAGCACTTGTTTACCTTTTTTTGTTTTTAAATTTCACTCATGTACTGTCAGTGTTATTCAATATTATGGGAATGCATATTAATGTTTTCTTGTAGCAATAAGTAAATCAGTCCATAAAGTTGTCAAGTAGTGGTCGAGAGACCGCGGAGATTGGCTTTAAAAGTAAGATCCACCCACCTGTTCTTCGCTCAGACGTCGTTACTTTCGTGTCAGGAGCTCGGATACCTTCTGATCGTCAGCCTTCCTTCACCGTAGGTTCCGTAAGTACTGTGTCTCTTTGCATTCTGCCATCCCGGTCATGTTCCCGCTCCGTTGATAACACCGATTTCTGTCCGAATCCGCGGTTTGCGCTCTTGGTGTTACTAAATTAAACTGTGTGCATTTTCCAACCCATCGCCAGGTCTTTGCCGCGTCTAGTCAGCACGCAACACGGGCGAATCCGTGCGTCCCCGTACTGACAAAAGCTTTTAAATGTTGTGGATGGTAATTTCTATACCTACTCTACAGCAAAAGATAAAAAATAAAAAATAACACCTGATAGCAGAGGGATTAGGAGGAAGGAAGGACTGTTAATTTGCATGTTGCATTAATTCAAAAATAGATGCAGACTTGACCATGTCTAATTCCACTCACAGCCATGGCTGCTCATCTCATCGTTCTTTTCCTCTTCAGTGTGAAAACAGGTTGGTGACCTCATTTTTCAAAGGTTAATGTCAGCAGATGAAAAAATTAATGACTGTTATTTATTTTGTTTTGTATTATTCAGTTTTATACTTGACAATACTGTAATGTTTCTACATGTGCAACATAGTTGTGCAAGATAAGTAAACAAAGAATGTATTAAGTAAACATAACCATCAAAACACTTTGTTCTTTTTGCAGGAGTTCACAGCACAACTGTAGTCAGTAAAGTTTCAGTAAAAGCTGGAAAATCTATCTCCATCCCATGTTTCTATCACTACCAATACAGAGACCATGTGAAGTACTTGTGTAAAGGATATTTTTGGAGATTCTGCAAATATGCAGTGAAAACAAATGAAGCAGACCCTTTAGGAAAATATTTAATCTCTGATGACAAAAAAGAGCAAATTTTCACTGTGACTATAAACCATCTGACAAATCAAAACACTGATTACTGGTGTGGACTGAAGAATACAGCACTAGATAATGGAGTGTATTTTCAGCTGTTAGTTACCAATGGTAAGTGCCTATTTTTATAGTCCAAATTTTTTTTCTTAAAAAATTTGAGTTTTTCTTAGAATATTTTTAACAGTGACTGAATGTGCTTTTATTTGTCATTTAAACCTAATGAGAATCGATATGAAGTCAGAATTACCCATTATTTTATCATTAATCCATTGTTTCCATTTTTGTATTCATTTTACCTTAAGGTACTCCCAGTCTCTATGTGGATCATCAGAGGATTACAGGATATATTGGAGAAAACATAACCATCAGATGTCACCACAGTAACTCTGGAGAAATGAAGTGGTGCAGGCTGGGCAGGAACTGTGTGACAGGATCATCTGGATCCATAGATGGAACAACAGTGACCGCTCATATTAGCGAACCAAATGTTTTCACAGTGACCATGAGTGGACTAGGGACGAAGGACAGTGGCTGGTATTGGTGTGCTGAAGGCGACATTCAGATACCAGTATATTTAACTGTTACTGAGAACACTAGTAAGTACTACAAATTATAAATTCTACATGTATGTGAATCACATCCATTGTAAATGTTAGTACTCTAAGAGATATTAAGACAGTCATTGTTACAGTACTCTGCTGATGATGTTCTTTTTTGAATTATAGCCACCACCCCTACTACTACTGGTATTACTATTCACACTGTTAATGGAAATGGAAAATTTACTACAATGGAGCAATGGAATAATTTTACAATAGTACAAAATAGACAACACAGGTCAGATTTTGTTATTTTTTTTATATGCAGCATTTAGTAATACTATACTTTTTAAGGGAGTCTGTATAATGATTTTTTATTTTGTTTTGTTTTTTTACGGACTAAATAAAGCAAATTATCTTTTTTTGAACTGCATGTTGCAGAGCTTCATTTCCTTCAAAGATCCTCATCATCCCTCTAAGTGTTTTGATCGTGATCGTAATTGTGGTGCTGTTCATCTGGTTTATACTCAGACACAGTAAGTCTCACTGAACTTTGATTTAGATCTGTGGAAAATTTACTAGGAAATCTTTAAAATGAAATGAATATTTAAGTTATTCTGCATCATACACAGAGTTAATAACAGCAGTTTTATTTTACTAGAACAGAGCAAAGCAGAATCATCAGCCACAGCAATGGTAAGTTATACTGACTGTTTTTCCCCTTCTGGGTATTGGTACATGATACTAAAAAAAAAATAGGAAAAGTACATCACAGGGCAAACTTTCATAATGACAGTTTACTGATGTTTTACTTGTGTTATGTTCTTCAATGCAGGTTGGAGAGGAAGTAACATACTCTGAAGTTAGAACCAAGAAAAAACGTTTACCCAAGGTAACCAACTACAGCAGTATCAAGCAATTAAATTTAAGAATTTTCATTAAATATTTCGGTCATCTGACAGTACATTAGATGTGTAAACTATTACAGATTCATTTCTAATATGTCTGAGAAAAATCAATCCTCATAGGGTAAACTGTTTTTGTGTGTTTTTATAACTTGAAAAATACAACGGCAGCTATCAGAAGAAATTAGATCATGAGTAAAAAAGCTGTATTTTGCTTCTGATAAGTCAAACCTTTATCTCTTTTAATTTTTTTGAATACTGATATTTTGTCAACAACACTGACACCCTGCACTTACAAAAGTGAGAGTGCTACAGTAGCAGAAAAGTCTGCTCCAGTCATGGAAATGTGGGAAAAATCACCTGAGGTAATCCTAACATGGTACAAATACACGTTTATCTTAGGAATACAAGTAGGCTTCTTCTTTTTTTTACTTAAAGCACAGCAGAAGTGTAAAGTGCTCAGTTTCTACTTTTCATTTTTCAGAGTTCATTTGCTGAAAGTGACATGGAACTCGTGTATAGTTCTGTTGTTGAGAAACAGCGTAATAAAAGGGTAAATATTAAAAGACCTGAAACCAACCACACACCGTTTCTCACTTCCTTTGTTTCCTTTTAATTTGGTCACATTTTTCTTTGCTTTTATTCCTAATTGTCAGATTTGTTTCTATTCCCCAACAGGCTGAAGGAAAAGAAACAGAAGTTACATACAGCACATTAGCTAATCTCTACTGAAATGCTTTGACATTCAAACATTTATGCAATCTTAACTTTCTCTGTACCTATGTTACTGGAGTCCTTGTGAGACAAATGATGTAATGTGTTATCTGATGCCATCAACATGTTATGTAGCAAATATTTTCTTCATCTTTTCAAAGATTTTGTAAAAAATCTATTGAGTTGTTCAAAAATCAAAGTTGTTGTCACAGGCTGGGTCTTTGACCCTGCATTTTGTGTTCATTTTGTTTAGTGGATTTTTTTATATTCTACTTCTTATTTAGTACTTATTGTTGGTATTATTAGTTAGGATTTGAGTTGACATTCCTTTATGTTAAGTTCATCTAGTTATCTTAAAGCTCCTAAATTGCACAGTGTTTAGTCCTTTGTTCATCAGGTCCTTCTTTGTGTCATCGCTCCTTGTGTTTTAGTCTCCCTTGTTGGTTCATGCTGTCAAGTTAGTATCATGTCTGCATCACATCATGTTTCCTTTTTATTTTTTAAAATCTTGCTTCAATGTTCTGTGTGCTCAGTTTACACTTCTCCTGTGGTGTTATTATGGTCTATTGTGTCAGCTGTTTTCTCATGTGTTTTCACTTCCCCTAAACTTCCCTATGTGTATTTTAGTCTGTGTGTGTTCTTTCAGTCTTTGTCAGATCATCTGTGTTACCACCCATCTCGTCTTGTCAAGTTTTTTTCATGATTTTTTTGTTCTGGGCATGTTCACGTTTCTAGTTCATGTTTATTGATGTCGTAGTTCCTCTCATGCCCCAGTGCAAAATCATGTTCATAGTTGTTGATAGTCTGTTCTAGTGTTCCCAGTTTAGGATTTAGTTTAGTTTTCACTAGGGATGGGTATCGAAACCCGGTTCTTGTTGAGAACCGGTTCTCACTGTTTCAGTTCCTTGGAATTGTTTGCCATTTTTATCGATTCCAGTCGCCCTGAATGACGTCACCACGTTGCAGAGCGTCATTTACCTGGCAGGAAACATGGCGGCTCAAACGCTCAAAAGTTTGGTTATGCTTTACGAGAACAGATGACAACAGGGCAACTTGCAATACTTGCAAAGTAGATACTTCATTTAAGGGAGGAAACACTACGAATATGCAAAAGCATTTGCTCACGAAACACACGATAACCTTAAATGAATGTCGTGTTTTTAATTCCGCTCCGGACTCGTGAATCTCAACCCAACAGCAGCGGTAACGTTTGCACGTCCTCTCCCGTTAATGCAGCAGGTAAATAATCAACTAACAGTGCATATTATGTTAGCGCGATCTGCCTTATTACAAAACCTGCCATTACTGTGCATTTAGGTGACCATGATGAGAGAGACAGAGTCTGGCTGGCTCAGATGCTAGCAGTTGTCGCTGCAGTCTACCGTTAGCGTTTCCTTTCAGGCAAGGATAGACGAATGTCACCGAGCAGTGACTAAGTTTGTGGTCAAAGGCTTGCACCCATTTGCAGCAGATGCCCCGATTTTCAGTAAGTGAATGTGTTTAATTGTAGGCAGGGACATTACTGGATATTCTTGTGTAATTGCTACTGAATAATTTATGTTACCCTTTGTTATTGCTACAGAAGAATATTTATTTTATTGCTTTACATTTACAGTTTTTTTTCCTGGGGACCCTGTGACACCCCATTGAAGAGCCATAGGCTGGATCTCTTAAGATCTCACTGCTGGGTTTGTAAGGCCATGTTACTCCTAAATTTCTATCTTGTTCAAAGAGAAGATATAAAGCAAAGTTCTAAGCTAATCGACCTTAGTGTTCTCCTTTTTTTAAAAAAAAGAATCGATAAAGAATCAAATCGTTAAACAGAATCGAAAATGGAATCGGGATTGTGAAAATCTTATCAATACCCATCCCTAGTTTTCGCTACGGCTCATGTTGCCTTGTTTTGTTTCTTGTAATCAGCTGTAATAAAGGCTTGTTTTCACTTTAACACTCAAGTCAAGTTCTTTGTCCCTTTGTGTCTGCTCTTTGGTCTGTTAAACTAAAACAAGAAGCATAGACCTGTCCTTTTGCTCTAAGCATCAACATCAACATTTGTATTTGTTGTACTTTGTTTATCTAGCTTCTAAATGATGTAGATGCTTGGTTCTAACTTACAACAATTTATAAAATTGATGTAACTAAAAATAAGACCACAAGGAACTAGTAGCAAGGCACGTTTGAAGTGTTGGATTTTGCATACATTTCAAAATAGAGCCAGACTTGACAGACTTGATGTAGTTTTCCACACACAGGCATGGCTACTTATTGTTTTTCTTTTTCTCTTTAATGTACTTGAAGGTCTGTCACATGAGTTGTTTAAATACATCCTGTTTCAAAGGCTAACATCAGCAGATTATAATAAATTTGTCAGTAAAATCCAGTAATGTAATGGTGAATTTTTGAAGTAAACATAATCATTAAAATAAATTACATACATTAAAAAGTTATTTGTTCTTGTTGCAGGGGTTACAGCATAACTACAGTCAGCAAAGTCTCAGTAACAGAATAAAAATCTATGTCTCCATGATTCCCAATATAAAAACCTGTACTTTTGAGACACATGTCACTGGTACATGTGCTATAATGCAGTAAAACAAACAAGCCATACATTTCAGGAAAGTATTTGATTTCAAAAAAAAAAATAGCGCATTATTCTATGCAGTTGAGATTTATGAAGGGGTTATGTTTAAATTAAACAAATGTATCTTTATGGCTCCGCCTATTTGTATCCATATGGTCATCAATCCAGTCCTTTTTAGTCACTTCAAGCGAGTTTACAGGACTGTGATGTTAAATTTCTTAGAATTACTGCTGTCCTCTTGGCTAAATTTCTCTTAAAAAACACATTTTTGATGTCAATGACACTTTTTGCCCAGATATAAACTGATTGCAGGGGCTGATAGGAGCTTCTAAGTAGGGTAGGTAGGGTAGGGTAGGGTAGGGTAGGTAGGGCTGGGTATCGTCACTGATTTAAAAAATAGATTCAATTCTGGTTCACAAGGTCCCAAATCGATTCGATCCACGATTCGATTCGAATCGGGGAAATATTGCCTCAGACAGTCAGAAATATTATAACTCTGATCACTTATCAGTACATGTTGATATTTTTATATCTATAAAAAGAAAACTGACACTTGTGAGACTTTATCAAAGGTGTAAGCATCACAGCAGATTCCTTTGTGTCAAAGTAACTGAGGATAAAACACAGAAAAACGTGAAGGCAGTTTTCCTGGTCTGGGATTTTATAGCAGATGACCTTATGTCAGAGATTTACAGTTAACAAACAGTCAGGTGAATAAACAACAATGAGACACTTGTGTAGGTTAACGTGCTGCACGGGTGAAAAGCTCAGAGCAAATCACACCGAACTGCAGTATTCGTTTATTTTTATAGGTTACATCGTCAATATGCAAATATAATCACATTTCCTGTTACGCAGGTCCTGATGTTGTCGGTGTGCAAGCTGTGTGTGTAAGCTGTGTGTGTCACAAAGTATGTGTGTTGCAGGTCAATTTCTAAGAATAATATAATGCAAGTCAACTTCTGCGGATATGTATTTCTGTGCTGGTCTCTTGTCAGTGTCACAGGGTCAGCTTCCTGTTTTAACAGAAAACTGTGTCTGGTGAAATATGTATAACATAACTTTTGAAGCATAAGCAAATAAAACAATAAAAACTCCCTAACACCTTAAAAATATTGTGCAGTCAAAAACAAAGTGAAGCAGAGCAAAGTTACAGAGGTTTGATTAGAGACACAGCTAAGCATTTTGAAATTTTTCATAATTTTAAAAAGTTTAAAATTTTTTTCAGTATTGAACAGCAGAAATGAGGCTTTCTTGTCGGAAGTAAAAAAAAAAACAAACAGCAGCCGACACCGTAGACTGGTGGGTAATAAATAAGCGAATAATGCAAAAAACTTTTTAGATGGGAAACTATTGCTGAGAGAGAGAGAGAGTTCTACATGAAGTGTGATTTTATCGTGGTGGAAGCAAAACAGCAAAAGTCAGAGGAAATTCGTGACGATGTTTATGTGAAGCAAAATGTGAAGCGTAGCTTGGATCGTCTTTGGCTGCTGGTTCAGTCAATATTGTTTGGAGAGAGATAAAACCTGCAGCTTCAGAATCTAGCACAAAAAGGACATAAACACAAAGCGCCTGCTGACGCTTCAAAATCAGTGAGCTGTCGGCTTTCAGCCCCGACGCCGTGTCCGCGTATGTGCCGTCGGGTGAGAAACATCTCAATTCTCCAAAAGGTGGCAGAATTTCTACCCCCTGAAAGCTGAGAACTCAGGTTATCAGGTTTCAAGGGGAGTTAAAGTTGGTCAAGTTTTCTTACCTTTTCATCAGTCTGTTTATCCACTGGTTTTTGGTTTATAAGGAAACGGGTTGTATATTTGTGCTTTCTCATAAAAACAAATGCTTATTTAGTTCTGTGATGTTCAACTTTAGTTTTTTATTATGACACCGAGAAAACTACGGTGGCCCCTAGAGACAAAGCACGTCCAAACTCCAAAACACGTACAAACTGCAAAACACGTACAAATTTCAAAGCACGTACGAGCTCTGAAGCACGTGCAAACTCCAAAACACATGCAAACTCCAAAACACTTACAAACTGCAAAACACTTACAAAACTCCAAAACACATGCAAACTCCAAAATAGGTACAAAATGCTATTTCTGTAGGGGCCACCGTAGAAAACAGATCTTCACGTATAAAGACCTGTTGATGGAGATGGCAAATAGAGGAGAGAATGAGGGAAGGAGGGGGTAAGGTAGTGATGTGCGATACCACTGATTTCCTTTCCGATCCGATACCAAGTAATATTCAGGGTGGTATCGACGATACTGATCCGATAACGATACTTTGTACAAAAACTTATTTTATTTATTGTATCTCAAATTATAGCATCATAATGATTACAGGACATCAGATTACTTGTTCTTATCACTTAATAATGCAGGATTCATCATATAGAAATAAAAAAAACCTGAAGTTGTGCGCTATTTGAACACCTTGCCTGCCTGCAGCAGGCAAAGGACTCCGTGAGAGACGTCTGTCTCGCCCTAGCAGCACCTGTCCCTCTCATCCTCTTCAGTTTGCCTCAACATACGCTTGTCATATTCTGTGATATGATTTACTCTGAGGTGTTTGACAAGGTTAGTGATGTTGCCACAACCATACATGCCAACCCTCCCAATTTTCCCGGGAGAATCCCGAATTTCAGTGTCCCTCCC